CAGGTAGTACAGGCAGCCCGGGAAGTAGGCGGCCTCGATGAAGCCGAGGAAGAAGCGGACGGCGTACAGCTGGCCGGCGTTGTGGCAGCCGGCCGTGGCGCCCGAGATGACGCCCCAGACGATCATCTGGGAAGAGAGAGAGAGAGAGGTTAGCCTCGACGTGCAGGTCGACACATTCCGCGCTCACACCCAAACCACTTACGCATGCCGGGAGGTAGATGGCCGGCCGGCCCGTCTTGTTAAGAAACAGGTTGGACGGAATCTGCATCAACAGGTAACTTGATTGTGTTAGCTGTGGGATGGCCGTGGTTTTCAATGGGTGTTTTTGTGTGCGTTTTGCGTCAACATACCCGACAAAGAGAATACTGACGGCCGTCTACGAGATTGTCAGCATGACAGACCAGATTAAAGAGTGCACCGTGGCAACTCAACTCCTCAACCGCCTCCCCCCTCACTCACCGAAAACTGCTGGGAGTTCATGTTCAGGTCCGTCTTGAGACCGCCCAGCGTCGCCGCCGAAATGTTGTTGCGGTCAATGTAGTTGAGAATGTACATGAGGATGATCATGGGCATCAGCCGCAAATCAATCTTGCGCTTCAGCTTCGTCTCCATCGCCTTGCGCTCCTCGGCCGACAGGCCCACCAGGAACGCGGGCGGCTGCAGGTCGCGCCGGCGCGCGGCCGTCACCTCGTTGCCCTCCCTCTCGGCCTCTTTGGTGTCCGGGGCCGCGACCTGTTTTTCGGTGTCCACGTCCAGAACAGCAGCATTGGGTGCTGTCGTCGTCGTTGTCGTTGCTGTTGTCTGGGCCGGCGCGTGCTCCTCGTGACTCAGGGCGGGCACGACTTCGGGCTGGTCGGCGAAGTCGTGGCTCTTGACGTCGCCCATGGTGGTTTTGTGATTGTGAGACGCAGCTTCTTTTTTGTGTCCCTTCGCGTTTACAAGACGAAATACAACGACGGCGGTCGTGTTACCGAACGACACAAAACGAGAACGGGTTCGACTGAAGCTCACAGCGAGAAACAGAACCAAAGTAACAGGACAGTGAGGAGCAAAAAGAAAAGAAAAAAAAGAGAGAGAAATGAGAAATTGAGGTGGGAAATAAATAAAATTTCGCGGGTGAGCAGAAGCTATAGCAAGGATAATAACACAAGGAGAGGGTTCGGACGGCGAATGAGGAACGGCAGACCCAAGCTCTCTGGAAGAAAGGATGAATAGGGGAAAAAATACGGACAATGCAGAGAGGGTGGTAACCAGTGATGGGTGGTGGGTGACGGGGGACGGGTGTCGGGTGCCGGGTGGTTTTTTATATTAATATAAAGTTATTTTGCGTGTATGTCCCTTGTCTGTGTGTCTGTGTGTCTGAGTGGTATTATCGATGTCCGTTGGGTGTGGAGAGCAACTCTGCCAGGACGGGGGTTGAACCGCGAGGAGAAAAGAGAATGAGGAGGGAAACGGAAGGGGAGAGCAGACGAGTGTCGACCTGCGGGGAACCTGGGGGGGGGGAGGAGACTGTGGGACAAGGAGAAACGGAGACAAAGGAGAAAACAAGGTACAGGATGTTTCGGTAGATTGGTGTTATGGAGATGTACTTTGAGGCCGGGTGGATAACAAGATACTAAGAGTTGAAAAAGAGTTGAAAAAGAGAGGGGGAGATTGGGGCGTCCTCATTCCCCCATGACCGAGCAGCTGGTATTGAGTCCAAGTATTGTTCATATCTTACAAGAGACCGTCTTTGCGGTGGGGATGGCTTGGACGGGAGAGGCACAGACGCGTTATGTTTGTTGTTAGCATCGATTGTACGAATTACGCACTTCGGAGTACTACTTTTGTCGTAGGTCTGCTTTATTTTGGAGGCTCTCCTCGCCAAGGTCTTGTCACTCATCCTTTGAGCTTTTGCGATGAAACTAGGGTGGAAGGGGTAGACTAAGAAGGAAAGAAGCATACATCGAAGAATGGAAGCATGGGTGATTGGTGCAAAGACCCAAGATTGTTGATCGATAAGTCGCTTTCTTTTCTCTTCTTTCCTTTTTTTTCTTCTTTCTTTTTCGACTACGCTACAGAGGACACCCACACACGCAGACTCCGCACGTTGCTGTGCGTGGCCATCAAAAACGTGCCTTGCCCGTGTGAGGTAGCAAAGGACAGAATAGCACCGAGAGTACTGACGGCCCATCCACAGCGGATGCGAACTGGAGGGAGTCTGACGATCCCAAACCCACCATGCCTCTCTCCAACTTTGCCGCCACTTCCACCCCGCATGGAGCCTGTCTGAAATCACCAAACCTTTTGTCTGCTGTGCGTTTTTGTTTCTACGGTCTTTGGTTAAATACAACAGTGACGTGGAAAAGAGGAGAAGCGCCGCGGAGCAGCTCTGTTGGGGATTCGCCACTCCAGACCACCCTCCATGTCGTAATTACGCCGGGGACACTGAGACGCTGTCCAGCACCTGTCGACTCGTCCAACGTCTGGTACGAACGGCCGCCTATTTTCTGCACAAGGGGACGGCACAGGACACGACGACGGCAGAGCGGCAGGCATGAATGCGACATGGGGACATGGGGACATGGGTTAGGTCGACGGCGACGGCGTACATTGTAAGTTGTACGTTGCGACGGGATACTTACCTGGGAAAGGCGTGCCAACCAAAACATCGCGTTGACACTGACCCGAAGACCGAACTGGAATTAAGCGGGCCTAGTTTGGACGGTTCGTTGGTGGTGTGGTCTGTATTCTGTACTTTGTATATTTGCAGTGCAGTGCAGTGCAGTGCAGTGCAGTGCATTTTATTTTATTTTTATTTTATATATTGTACTTTCTTCTTTTCTTCTACACTCCAAAATACAGGACGAAAATGTCTACTTTATTTCTAACCAGGACGACTTGGACGAGCTGGACGAGCTGGACGAGCTGGACGACCTGCTCTTACGCAGTTGCAACAGGAGTCGTGTCGTTGGAATAAGGATAAACAATGAGGCCCAACACTAGTGTCGGAGGAGGACGCCTCATGTGTCACTAAGACCCATTGAGACGGGGCGCTTGCCCGCAATTGCCGGTAGGAATTACTGATACGCCGTGATGGGGAGAAAAAGAGTTGTGTGTGGGGAAAATCGACCAGGGATCGTCGTGAGGGGAAAAGGTAGTCGAGAAGCAAGCAGGCAAGGAAATCAAAATGTGGCGTCCACCTTCCACCGTCCACCTTCCCTGCTTTTCCTAGCTACATCGTACTCTCCCTCCCTCGACTCTCCACAAAGGTCTCGTCCACTTGTCGAAACAGCGGATCGTGACAATGTGGGGTTTGCTTCTGCTTCTGCTTCTTGCGAGGACTCGTAGGTGGATCTGGCCGAGGCTCATTTCGACGGGCGTACGTCGAATGTGTACAACGTCGAGACGAAGACTCTCTACGCAGTAGGAGTATTCCTCTATCTGCTCCAACGTGCATCTACACGACACTGCCAGAAGTGACGAGACAAACCGCCACACCTTGGAGAAACGTCTCCTGCGCATGGCAGGTTTTGCTCCATACTTCGTACAATGTATGTGTCCCCATTCTTTGTCTCCTGGATGCCGATCCCACCGAGAAAGCCACCGACAGGTGCATGAACCGTGAGAACCCATGCTCCATGCTCCATGCACCCATAGACCAACCCCCAATGGAAACGAAACAATTCGATTGGCGACCCGGGCTCCGGGTAAATGCAAAAACAAAAAAGGGACGAGGGGAGTGAGGAGACCACAACCCTGGCAGCCTAGTTGAAGCTTGGCAGTTGGCTCCCTGGGGAAATTTGGCCGCCATGGGCAAAACTGCCGGAAGCCCTCGAGTCCCGGGTTTGTACGAAGTACAGTGCTGCTGCTCCTAAAAAGAAAAATAAAAATAAAAAGAAAAAGAAAAAGAAAAAGAAAAAGAAAAATAAAAATAAAAATAAAAATAAAAATAAAAATAAAAATAAAAATAAAAATAAAAATAAAAATAAAAATAAAAATAAAAATAAAAATAAAAATAAAAATAAAAATAAAAATAAAAATAAAAATAAAAATAAAAATAAAAATAAAATAAAAATGGAGAATGTCATCTTGCGGAGAGGAACCACAGACCCAGCAGACGGCTGCTACTACATCGTAAACATAACATCTACGACGGCACGACGGTAAGCGACGGCGCGGCGAGATGTTCGGAGAGAAATGCACCTGTGCACCCGTGCATCCGTCAATTGGTGAATCGAGCCAGGCACGCGGCGGGGGGGCGGTGGCCCAACGGACGAGAGTTCCCCAATCGAGCAAGGTGAAGGGCAATTTGTAAGTTGTCGCCGTCGTCTACACTCCCGTTTGGAACGTGAGCCGAGGACTGGACTCTAGCCTGTGGAGTACGGAGTACGACATACAGCATTGACATCTCTCTCATACTCCGTACGCCAACTGAGGCTGACGGAAATGGCACCGCAGCATCAACGTTTTCACCGCTGGATGTGTGTGCGTTGTTTTTGTTGTTGCTCTTGTGTTGAGGATGAAATGTTAAACCACGAGGACGACAATAGACAAAAGACACAGTAGACGGAGACAAAAGAACAACCGTTCTCACATGCCGGTCGCGCCGACTGTAACCCAAGACTCGAGTGAAGCATTCACACATCCAAGTATGACGGGCAATAGCCTACTTTCCTGTTTAGGTATCCCTCGAACTTACTAGCCCAGCGTGGTCACTCGCCAAGATGAACAAAGTTGATAACCAATTTGGAGTTAAGATAAGCTGCCTACTCAGGACGCCGTATCGTCGTATCGTCGTATCGTCGTATCGAAACAAGAATAAAGTTTGGGGTAGCAATAGACAACCGCTCGCTTAAAGGCCGCCGGGATATGACATGCTCGATAACGCTCATCTCTTCTTCCTATGAAGGCAAGTGGAAAAATGCTTGAAACACACAGACCTATGCATGCACTGTACCCGAAAATAAACAGTGCTGCGGTGCACCAAACGAACCCCAGAAACCGGACTGCATCGCCTTTCACATTTTGGTATTCATCAACGGCATGGCCCACGTGGGAGCCACCAGCGTGTTGGGATAGTATTGTCCATACAGGTGTAAGGGTTGCATGGACTGGATGGCCTGCATGGCTGATCCTGGCTGCCCTTGCTGATAATGCTGCTGATCCTGTTGCGTTTGATGAATTTTTTGCATATGCTGCTGGTGCATCTCGTGCATCTGTTGCATCTGTTGCATCTGTTGCATCTGCTGCATCTGCTGCACCTGGTGAAGCTGCATGTGGCGAAGCTGTTGAGCTGGCTGCGCCGGTTGAGCTGACTGCACAGATGGCAATTGCTGTGCCTGCGGTTGCACCTGGGGATGGACCTGGATATGAGCTGCGGGTTGCTGCTGGCTCTGTTGATGTTGCTCCCACCGCATTTGAGGTGAATTTACCCATGGACAGCTGCCGCCTGCTTTTGCTTTTGTTCCCCGTACCTGTCTATTCTGCCTTCCCCAACGCAGCTCTTGGCGTCTCCTGGACAGAGTGGCATAGTTGGGAATCGTCGCCTTGAGCAGTTCAATGTGCTCTTCGATTTTTTGCTGATCAGCCGCTGCAAGCGGTACAAATGCGGTGCGCCGCCGGCTGCTGCTTGGCCGTTTCGACATGGGCCACCCAGGTACGGAAATGGGAGTGGAATACGGGGGCCTGGAGTTGTGGCCTTGCGGTAGAGGTGGTATGGCCGGCATAGACACTGGGACAGGCGGGACAAGTGAAGCTGGAGCAGGTGGCGGACCTTGCGGCGGATGCAGCTGCCACGCAAGCGGCATGGGCACCGTGCCTGGCACGATTCCTGGTACAATTCCCGGCTCCGTTCCCGGCTCCATTCCCGATACCATGGTATGCTTGTTTCGAATGTTGGAAAAGGCATAGGGCACGTATGAAGGCTGAAAGGGAGCCTTTCTTGGGTCCAATGCACCATCACAGCCGCTGGACGGGACAGGAGCAGAGGAGTGGGGTGGATTGCTCGCCCGATTGGGTCTCGGAGGCAAAGGAGGAGGCATGTCTTTGCGGGTTGGCTGCCCAATCTGGCTCTCGTTTTGTTTTCCTGTCGTTGAACTTGCTGCGCCGGACACCTGGTAGTCGTTATGAACTGAGTCATGGACGACTGCTCCACGTTGTCTACTATCCCGGACGGGCATCTTTGCATCATTGCAATGGGAGGTCCTACCCACGTTTGAGTTTGCGTCCTTAACATCATCTCCCGACTGTTGTGATTGCTCAGACAGCTTCTGCTGCAGACGGTTGACAAGGGTATCAAAGCGATGCCGATCACCGGCTAGCCTCTTGTTCCCGTCGACAGACGGTTCGGCTCGACTTGGGGGCGGAGCACGGTAAGGCGCATTGGGGCCACTTTCGCTGCTGCATATCGAAGACGGCGCAGTCTGGGTACCAGTGGTCGTCGACGAACTATCTCTCTGAGTCGAGCGTGTTGATGCGCTTGTCCTCTCGCAGTGCGGGTTGCCGGCCCTGGCACACGTGCCGGTTGTTCCGTTTGTTGACGTCGACCTGCTCGACCGTTTCGTCACTGCCGCTTGCGCCACTCCGGCATGCTCCTGTTTCCGCCATGTTTTCTCTAGCTTCCCAAACAGAACGTCCTTGGACGTCTTGCCTCGCAGCACCTCGGACTTCGTAAAGGGCGTGATAGAGAACAGGAAACGGGGGTCTGCATTGGGACGGACATACCGGCCGACGCTGTCGATCGAGCCGATCACATGACCCTTCTTACTCACTTCTACGATCTGCAGAGGAGCCCCCTTGCGGGCCAACTGTGTTCTCAGCGTCGAGGTTTCGATAGGCCCTTTGAACAAGGACGAGTACGATGGGAGCCTGTGCTCTTGCAGGAATTTGAAATCGAAACTGTTGCTGTCGGTCCACGTTTTGGGGTGCGCAAAGTTGGTCAACTGGACCTTGTTCATATTGGTATGAATTTCCATCTGTCTGGACTCGGCCCCGGCGATCATGTGCAAAGGAAGCCGGGCACAATGAGAAAACGAAAAGCTACCGTCTGTGCCCTTTGCATATTCAAGGTCGTCTGTGTCACCGTCTGCGTCTTGTCTGGGCGACGAAGTGGCCTTTGGTCGGAGGTTGACATAGAGAGGCAGGCGTGATTGTGACGGAAACTCAAACGGCCCGACTTTCTTGTGGCCAGCGAACAATTCAAGAATCATCGCTGCCACTGTACGGCCCTTCTCGCCGGCCTCGGGCGTCAGGTTCTTGCGAACAAGCCCCTGCAGCACCGGTGGTAATGATTGGATATCTGGGTGTTCTTCCAATGGGTTTCGAGCATGAGGAAGACCTAGAGGAGCATCCGCATGCGGCGGACCGTGCATGATATTGAAGAGTGGCAGGCGCGAAAACGACGTAAAAGAAAAGTCCAAGTGTTGGTCTTCTTCGGTTGGATCATCACTCAGCTGAGTTGCAGACTTGTCGTCGTCGGTGATGCCATAGTCGGGAGCAAAAAATTTGGGCAGGCTAGATACGCTTCGAAGGGAAGAGTCTCTGTCTTTTGTGGCGCCTTGTCCGAACTCGAGTGGAAAAAGCCGTATAGGTTCTGGGTGACGGGTCTCTGGGTGGGTTGGGGCGGTCGCACTGGAGACGTCTGAGACATCACGCTCGGTCACCACGCGAGCCTTGAGGCTGGGCAATGCATCCACGCCATAGGTTGCTCCCGGGCGCCTCCTCCGGAGCGAACCGAGATCGCTTGCATTTGGTATCGCGTCGGATTTGCCCTTGATTTCTGTGGCCTTGGGTGGCTGCTCGGCCATTGAGTCCGCTGAGCTCGACGACTTCTCCGTGACAGTCGACACATGCGGACGCCAGTTCTCAATGGTAGCGCCGTCGATCGGCTGTCCTTTGTGTTTCGTGGCTGGGGAGTTCTCGCGGCTCGGCCGCTTGTCTGGTTTCTTGTCAGACGGCAACGTTCGGTCGTCGATCGATGTGTCGGCAACAGAGCAGTTGTCTGTGTGGACCAGTGCGAGAGCCGGGATGCGCTCGCCGGTGCTGGAGGTTCTCATTGCGGGTGTCGGTGGGTGGTTGTCGGCCGTAGATACTTGGTTTGCCGAGAGTTGGTCACTGTGAACCGCTCAGCTGGGAAAAGACTTAGGAATCAGAAAAAAGAAAAACAAATCAAAGAGAGCGCTTTCATATGGGCATATGGTGATGGAAAAAAGACGAGTATTTGTCGTATTCTGCGGTCGTACTGCAATAAGAAAATCATGAACAGTGGCAGCCTTGGACAATCAACATTCTGGGACAACATGCCACCGCATCATCCTTGCAGCACAATACGACGTGCACATAACCAAAACAAAAGAAACAAACTGCAACCAAAATAATCGTAATGTACTGATGGAAGGAGGTCGCTGAAGAAGGAAAAAAGAGGAAAGTGCGATGAAAACAGACACCAAGAAAAGACACTGGAGCATATATGAGAGAAAACAACGGAGAGGCAACGGCGAAGCTACGGTTGCCGTCTTGAAAGACATTTTGATCTGCCTGCCCAAAAAAGCAACAAAATCGTCCAAAGTTAATGGAAGCCACAAGCCCAAGCGTGTCGTAGTTGGCTGCCTTCCTTACACCTGCATCGTCTGGCCGGACATGAAGGCACTGAATGCTTTCTGCACAACGTTAGTAGGGCATTGTAAATGGCCAAGGTGCCTAAGGCCCCTCTCGCAACAGGAGGATGACATACCGCATTCCGCGTCTGGATGTAGACCGTGCCGGGCCCCGTAAACTTGCACACCAGGCCCTCGGCGGACGCAAGGCCCGAAATGATGCCGCCCGAGGCCACACGCTCCAGCACGTACTTTGTGTTCCAGGCCACCAGGTGCCCGTTGTCCACAATGTACTTTTCGCCCTCCACGAGGTCCTTCTTGATGATGGCGCCGAAGCTCGAGATCCACAGCAGACCAATGCCCCGGATCTTGTACACCCAGAGACCCTCGCCCGAGAACATGGCCTTGCCGATGCCCTGGCGCTTGTACTCCTTGACCACGCCCTGCGTGCACGCCAGGAACCCGTCGTGGCCCACGGACCACGCGCCCTCGCCCGTCAGGCGGATGCTCGTAATGTCGCCGAGCATGGGCGGGCCCAGCAGCAGCTCACCGGGCCCCGTGAACAGGGACGTGCCGATCTCGGCGCCCGCCACGAGCTTCTTCATGCTGAACTTGAAGGCGCCCTTGAGCGTGATGGACGGCGACATGCCAATCATGACGCCCGGCTTGGCCGTCAGCGGGCAGCCAATGGCCAGCTGGATGGTCAGGATCGTGTTGCTGTCGCGGTGGCTGATGCGGTAGCTGCCGCCGTTGAAGGTGCCGACATCGTCGACGACGGCCGTCACCCCCGTGAACATGCCCGGCGCCGGCGCGCCGGCGATCTGGCCAATGGCACCGCCTTGGTCGTGCAGGCGGCCGTACTCGTCGTCCTCGTCGCCGTCGTCGCCCTCCTCGTCGTCGGCCTTGCCGGTGTAGCCAAAGCTATTGCTCACAGCAGCACCGCCCGACTTGCCCTTCTCCGCCGGGTAGTCGGCACCAGTCGCACTGTTACCGCCGCTGTCACCGTAGGTAGGCGGTGGCGCGAAAGCGGCCACCGCCTGCTGGTGCTGCTGGGGCTGGGACACTTGCGAGGAGGAGTACGAGGTGCGGGACGAGAAGGACGGCGTGCGGTCGTGAATGGGCACCACCTGTTGCTTCTGCTGCTGCTGCGGCTGCGGCGTCTGCGTTTGGGGCTGTGCCTGCTGCTGATTAGGCGGCGGTGGGTAGCGTTGCTGTGCTGGTGCTGCCTGGGAAGGCGAAGCTTGCTGCTGCTGGGGAGGAGGAGGGTACGGCGATTTGTGAGACGGCGCGGGTGAGCCGGCAGCAGCAGTCTGGCCAGGCGGCGGCGGGTAGGCGTTGGCTTGCCGGGGCGACAGCGGGTGCGACTGCAGACCGCCGTACGAGAAGTTGGTGCGAGTGGCTGGCGGCGACTGGGGCGGCGGTGGGTAGCTTCTCTGAGTGGCAGGTGCTGGGAGGGTCAGTGTGTGTCCTGCACTGGCAAGGGGTCGCTATTTCCTCGTTGATGGTCACTCTCACCTGCTGCCGCTGCTGGCGGGGCTGTTGAGAGATGGTCAGTATGGACGATCGCAGTTTCCTCAAGCGCTCGGGGAAGGTGAGGGACGAAGGGAAACCGTACGAGGATAGTACTGGCTGTTCATTTTGAAGGTTGTTTGGCAAAGAAGGCGCGATTCACCGGTCGTTCTTGCTGCGTCACTTCTGTGTATATGGCATCAGCAACAGTGTTCTTCGTCGAGTAAGGAAGGCTCGACGCTTTGGCGTGCCCCGCGCAACTACCTTGTGATTGGAACTGCAGCTAACAGGAAAGCACGACTCACATTGGGAAAGTGCGATGAGTCCGTCAGGCAGTTGTTATCGGACGCCTGGGTTGTGTCACAAAGGAAAGAGCAAATGGGCCGTTCACGATCCGCGACAAGGTACAGAAACAGAAGGAGAGATCAGGAACAGAAGAAGGAAAGAGCGAGCAGCAGCTTCATAAGAAGAGTAAGAAAAGACAAGGATAGGGTGGTACTGCAGCTGGCATCTCCAGCCGTTCCTTCCTTGCATACTCATATGTCTACCAACGTTCACCCAGCGCACGACGACACAACCTCCAACAGACGCCCGCCGTCCGTTCTCCCGTTTTTGGCTGTGTCTAATTTGGGAAACAGATTGGCCATTTGGCCCCTAGTCTTTTCTTGCCCAAGGATCCAATGGTAGCCCGCATGGTGACGGGATGCTCGCGGCACCGTGGACGACGAGGACAGGACAAGGTCAGAAAACAAGGGTCGAGCGCCTTGCTTTCGCAACATATCCCAAAAGACGGCAGCTCCACGGTACCCGCCGACTTACAAGCAGGGGATCGAGGCGAAATGGCGGGCGCTTAAAAAGGAGGGGTGCCCTCACTTGGCAGGCAGCATGCGCACTGATTGGCCAGAGCTCGGGTCAGTTTGTGCCCAGCTAGTGATGTTTTGGGAGTGGGCTCTAGGCGCCTTGGGTTGGCGCTGAGGCGCTGAGGCGCTGAGGCGCTTTAGGTGTCGGTGGTTGCTGGCCATAGTTTGGAGCTGCCACACTGTTTTGGTCGAGCAGTGAAGCAGTATTAAGGACACAGACGACGACACGACTGGCAAGATGTAACATGTTTGAAGTAATCTGTTTTTGAGATACACCTGGATGCACTTGAATGCATTGAGAACTGTTATGGCCCGTGGGAAGGCGAGTAAACGTTGGTCAGCGGACTCGCCGCAGCGCAAAGGTGACTGTTTTGTTTTTGAACACGACGATTGCATGGGTGCCATATATGGCCTGTCGTAACTATATTTCGCATTTCTTTGCTTTCCTTCGTTTCTCAGCTTGCTCGTCCCGTCCCGTCCGGTTCTCGTGGCTGGACTCGTGACGTTGTTGCTAAGTTGCCGGAGTTGTCGGACGGACGCGGAGCGGACATCTCTACTCCCCGACGCTTAATAGTAAGATACGTACTTACGATCCCTACAGCGACTGTAGCGGGGGCAATCGCTTCCTTGTAGCAGTTTGAGCCAATCACATGTGGTGCGGTCTCTGGTCGTCTTGGTGAGTGAGCGCTGTCTCACCTTTGCTCTGCTTAACACCGATGACCCAACAGAGGTGGCGCTGTGGCCAGGCCCTACGACAGTCCTGCTCAATGACGCAGGGCCAGGCCGCCTTGGGAGCTTCCAGAACTTCGTTGGTGCCGCGCAGGCAAATTTTTTTGAGGCCATTACCGGCGAAAAGCCACGATTTTCTCGGGCTTTAGGAAACACGGAATTCACCATTGCTTGCTCTTTTCGTTTTCGTATCCGACCGCAAGCTCCCGGCATCTGACATAACTATACGGCATTCGTTTGCTTCGTCTGCACATTTACCAGACACCCAATTCCTCAACGACTCTCTCCAACGACATTCCATTTCGAAGCTCATCACGACACGAGACCCCGCGAAAATTGCCGAACAAGCGAGTCGCATACAGCTCTCGCGACATCGACGGTACCGTGCAACACGAAGGGCAATCTTGGTGACGCTGGGGCTGCTGCTTCTCATAACAACGGACAACCTACCTACCTGCGAAATACAACCACACGCCTCGCATCGCTATGCTGCGTCGGTCGGTGCGCGCCTTGGATGTGCTCCTGCAGCAGCCGTCGGCACAGCCGGCCATGCTGGTGCTGCAGCAGCGCGGCGGTGCGGCAGCCGCCCGGAATGGCGTGGCACAAGCTGGCAAGCAGGTCTGGCGGCGGCCAGCTACACGGAGCATTGCCAGCTCGACGCCGAAGGCACCGACGACCTCCGCCACGCATCAATTCCGTTCCTCCACATTCTTCACCCGCGCCCCGCCACGGCGGACATTCCACTCGTCGCGGACACGGCGGTCACACGACGGCGCAAAGGGTGGCGCGGGAGACGCAGCCGGGCCCAAGTCGGGACCCGGCGCCGCGCCCGCCGAGAAGCTCACACTGAGCCAGCGCTTCAAGAAGCTGTCCCGCGAGTACGGCTGGACCGCAGTCGGCGTCTACTTTGGCCTGTCCCTGCTCGACTTTCCCTTTTGCTTCCTCCTTGTGCGGACGCTTGGAACGGATCGAATCGGTGCGTTACCTGCCTGACAGCTTTTTTTTTTTTTTTTTTTTTTTGTCTTCTTACCTAACCTCTTCCTTGCAGCCGCCGCCGAAGAATACGTCGTCGGCCACGTCAAGGTATTGATCCCCGAGAGCGTCAAGGAGCGCTGGCGCAGGTACCGCGCGGCCCTCAAAGAGGCCCAGCGCGAGAGCGGCGTCGCGGCCGCCCAGGATGCGATTGCGGATGCGGCCAAGGACGTGGTCGCCCACGACAAGGACGGCCAGGAAGTCGCCGCGGGCGACGGCTGGGGTGTCAAGGAGGCCGATCGGCGCAACAAGCACGAAGCCAGCCTCGCCACGCAGCTGGCCCTGGCCTACGCCATCCACAAGAGCTTTATTTTTGTGCGCGTGCCCCTGGCGGCGGCCGTGACCCCCCAGGTGGTCAAGGTGCTGCGCTCGTGGGGCTGGAAGATTGGCAAGGCGAAGCCGGCGTAGGCCAACCCATCAACGCCAACAATGTGTACGCTATGGCGACGACGATTCACGTACTAGACGGACTGAGCTATGCGCTCTGAAGGAACAGCATATATACAGGTCGGGCGGACGGGGGCATCTTGCATCATTATAGATTTTGGGCGAGGAAAGTAGGTGTTTTGTACGATTTGGTTTGCCGTTGGGCTGGTCTCTTCTCTTTTTGCTGTTGCATGGTTATGCTTTCGTTTGTTATTTCTTTGCTTTTTCTGGAGTCATTCCCATGATTTGGCACACATCCACTCTTGCAACGGTCATTTGGCGTTCTTAACCTCTCGCATCTTTTCCAATCCGGCATCTATTATGTGCTGACATATAGCCATCTCAAATACAGTCTGGAATTTTGGCAAACACCCGTCGACTTTGTTGGCTAATAGCCTGTCTCTCAGACTGAACGTTTTGATGCCAGCATAGACGCTCACTGATATGCCCTACGTGGGGAACGGAAGCGGCCGACAAAGGCATCCGTCTGCGCACGTGCCACTTCTCTGGCTGCGCGCCTGCCAGTGCGGTTCCTGAATTGATTCGCGCCTGCCCTTTCTGGGCGCACGCCCGTTTGTTCTTTCCGTCCCAGCCTCGTCGACAACCTTCCCGATCTGGTATTGGCACTGGACGGTGTCGCACGCCGACGGTCAACTTGTCTTTTATTTTGAAGCGTTCTGCCAGCATCATCACCGACTCCGTACACTCCTTTTTTGTGATCGCCGCCCCCAACTCCTAGGTGTCAATAAGGACCTCAGACGGAACGCCGCTGTGCCGACTTCAGCCGCGAGCTCCCTACCTTGTTTACGACGCACTGGTCCCGTGTTTTCCATTGGTTCGACCGCCATCAGCTTTATTATCACTGCACAGAATATTGCCTTTATCCAGCGTCGTTTCGAAAACTGGCCGGACCAGGCCACTGGAGCTGCGGCCTGACAATCGCGCGATTGTGCTCCTCATTGCGCTGTGTCGATCCCATTTCCCGTGTTGTTGATTGCGTTCACATGTCCCGCACCTCCTATCGTACTCGTCCGTCGCCTTTGCTCTCGTCATACTTCTTTCTCTCTTGGCCGTTTCTTTCCATAGGATTTACCACTACCCCGTTTGCCTCACTTCAACCGACCAACCATGGACGAAGCCGGCGCACCGCTTCTCGAAAAGGACCACTGGTCCGCCGTGGAACCGGAGACCACCAAACCGAGGACATCAAAATATGGCCGACGGCCAACCATGTGGCTGCGCTTTGCATCCATCTTGTTACCCGTGGCCTTCACCCTCGCTGTCGTCCTCGCCCTCGCTTCACACCTCCGCCCATGCTTGCCATCGGCGGCCTTCAACCGGCCACACATTAATGTCGCTGGGCATACAGCGCCCGTGGGCCCAATCTCTGTTAGCAAGCGCGCCGGGGGAGACTCCAGTCCAACGGCATCATCGTCCACCTCAACTCCAGCCGCCACCGTGCTGGACTGTTTCCAGGTGGCACCGCCTGTCCTCACACCCGATGGACCCGCAACAGAGCGCTCGTCCGGCCCGTCCTCGGCATCCGGCGCCGTTACGGTGACGCTCATGGAGCACGTCTTTGGCAACAGCTACAACGCACCTTTTGTCGGCAGCTACGTGCCTCCCGCCACCCCGTTCAACCGCGTCGTTATGAACTTCACGGCAGTGTCGGCCGGCCGCCAGTTTGACCGTCTCGCCCTCATGTACCTCAACGACACCGAGGTCTGGCGCACCAGCACGGCGGAGCCGGTTAAGGCGCCGGGCATCCGCTGGGTCTATCTCAAGGACATGACGGCCTACCTGGCTCTCTGGCGCGCGCCGCAAAAGATCATCTTCGACCTGGGCAATTTGCAGAACGAGGTCTACACGGCGTCCTTTAACGTGACCCTGACGGCCACGTTCTTCCAGTCGGACGTCGGCGACCGCCTGGATGCTGCGCCGCCCAGTGATGCAGTGATTCCCATTTCCAAGCGCCAGAGCGACGTCAACGGCGTCAGCCAGTTTACGCTGCCCGCCGATGTGGCCACCAACACCATTACCGACTTCCCACGCAACGCGCGCCGCGCCGTGTTCTCCGTGTCGGCCAACGGACAGGCCAACGAGGAGTTTTGGTGGACCAACGTGCTGCAGTCCGATACGCTGACGTTCAACGCGACGGACGCGGGTGTGTTTCCTGGGTTCAGTCCCTTCCGCGAGGTCCAGGTGCTGATCGATGGCCGGCTGGCCGGCGTGCAGTGGCCGTTTCCCGTGGTGTTTACGGGCGGGGTTGTGCCCAGCCTACACCGCCCCATCGTGGGCGCCGACGTGTTTGATCTGCGCGAGCACGAGATTGACATTTCGCCGTGGCTGCCGGTGCTGTGCGACGGACAGCCGCATACGTTCAGCATCCTCGTGGCCGGACTCGACGACGACGGTCAGCCGTCGGGCGTGGCCAGCCTCACCAAGCAGGTGGCCGCCAGCTGGTACGTGACGGGCAAGATCTTTGTGTGGCTCGACGACAACGACGGCGACGACAGCAGCGCGCTGGTCACGACGGGCACGCCACCCGTCGTCCACGACTCGGGCGTGGCGATCAGCGTGACGCAGCACCTGCAGCAAAACGCGACGGGCGCCAACCAGACGCTGACGTACAGCGTGTCGGTGGCGCGCTCGTTCAGTGTGCAGGGCACGTTGAGGACGGGCGCCAAGGGGCCCCGCGCCGTGTCCTGGTCACAGTCGCTCTCGTACGCCAACGAGGGCGTGCTGACCGACTTTGGCAACAACCAGATCAACAACTTTACGCTGAGCGGGAGCGACAAGGCCAGCGGCGACGGCGATGCGGCCTCAAAGTACAGCTACAGCACCAACTATGCCTACCCTACGTTCTGCAACACGACGACGAACATTTCGCCCCAGGGCAATCTGACGCTATGGGCGCTGCTGGACCAGGGACTGCAGCTCGAGGTGGCCGGCGCCGGCGTGTTCTCCACGGGTCTGGAAGCGTTTGCCGGCGCTGCACCGAACCGCTTCGCGTCGTCGCGCCTCAGCACGCGCGCCGTCGGCACCGCCTCGTTTTTCCAGACGGGCGACGGCAAGAACAGCAGTGGCTTCGGCTCGACGACCCAGTACTTGCATTTTGGCGGCGTCAGCGCGGCGGGTGTGCTGAGCGCCACGGGGCCGGACGTGGAGCTGTACATGCGCAATGTGACGGCCGTGAACCAGACGATTGTCCACGACTCTGAAACCGCATTGGTGCCACTCGCTGCCGGCGCCGCGACAGAGGACACAGGAACGGGGACGGCGGCGCCGGCGTCGCTCGCCCAACCCGCCTACCAGTATGCACAGGCGCCGCTGCACGGCGGGACGGGCACGCGCGTGTTTATGGGCCGCGGCGGTCCGGACCCGGCGGTGGCCGATGACCGCTTGGCAGACAGCCAGGCGCCGTTGCGGGCACGGTAGTCTGGGCCCGTCCGATGCCCTAAGTACGATTACGAAGAGATGACCTTTATTTTTTTTGAGTATTACATTTTCGAATAGCAATCTATTTTGGACCACGACAATTGATATCACAGCTGTCTCCAAAGGGTGCCGAAGTGGGTGTGTATATCTGTGGATGGACGAGTTGCATAGAGTCGCCTTTTGCTGCTGGCTGACTGTGTTTGGCAATCGAGCGCCACGGTCTATGTCTGTGCGCGGAGAAGAAGAGATGGCGCCGAGGAGGACGCCGACGACATGGAAAGCGCTAGAGGTGCTACAGGTTCTCCGCAGTCGCTTTTGCCCACAACGCTCGTCTTGTCGTTGCCGACCGTTTCGGCTGTGCTGCTCGACGTTTGTCGGCAGATAGCACTGCTGGCACTGCGGCTTCTGTTGTGGACGCTGTTGGCGTTGGCCCGGTCGGGCAAGGACCCCCTGGCTCGTGCTGCTGCTGCTGCTGCTGCTGCTGCTGCCCCAGTCTCGTCCGCGTCCTCTTCTGCCGCCGAGTCCACCGACGACGTCGAACCCACCTGCTGGATGGCAAAGTCCATCGGCAGTCGGTCGCCCAAGCCCGCCTCGATGCCGACTACGCTGTTAGTATGGACGTGTATATTTCTCAACAAGAAAGGCAAAAAGGGAGGGGGACCCAAGGAAAACGTACAAATCAACAGGAAGCCAAAATCGACGGCAACGGGGCCCCAGGTGGCAATCGCCAGCACCTGCCCAATGGCCCACTTGTTTTCCGTGTCCAGCCCGTCCGCCACGTCGACGATGCTGTGCCGCAGATCCGTGAGATACAGCAGGAGCGTCCACATGATGAGGCACGCCAGCCAGGCCACGACGTGCCGCCACACGGGGCGGCCAATGCGGGCCAGCAGGCTTTTCTGGTCCTCGCCAGCGGGTCGGCCGATTTTGGTTTCCTCGCCTACGGCTCGCCCGTCTTTGGCTTCCTTTTCCTCGCTTGCGGCTCGCTTCTCATGTCTTCCGTCCTCATCGGTTCGCCCTCGTCCTCGTCCTCGTCCTCGCGCGGCTCGCCACTGCCGCCACGGCCGCCACCCCGTCAGCACATACACACCCAGCGTCATCGCCAGCCACAACACGGGCACCCCAATCACCAAGTACTTCAACGCCTCCAGCGCCTGCCAGTACACCAGCCCGCCCCGCTGGTCGCACGTATAGAGCACGGCCGCAAAGTTGTCGTCGGGGTTGGCGACGCGGCCCTGGTACGCGTAGTCGAGCTCGCTGCGGGGGTCGAGAAAGACGACGGCCGCGGCCAGGGCCCACAAGACGACGAGGACGGCACGGCGCAGCCACGTGCGGCGGCCTTTGCGGCGTGGGTGGTGGTGGTAGTGGCGGTAGTGGTGGTAGTGGTGACGGGGCCACTCGTCTTCCTGCGGAAGGAGAGCGTAGAGCACAACGGGAGGGAACACGGCATAGAGGCCCACCAGGAGCCCCAGCGCCGAGTCGTACAGGGCGTGTCCGCTGGGAATGTTTTGGGAATTGACCGGGTGCCGGCGCAGCTCGTTGGTGTGGAAGGCTTCCATGACGAGGGCGGCGACGAGGATGGCGATGGCGAGCACGGCGGCGGCCATGAGAAAGCCGTCCAGACTGCCGCGGAGGGCGTCGAAGCACCGGTGGCCGGCGCGGGCCAGTCGTCCCCGTTCTCGCCCTCGTCCTTGTCCTCGTGGATTTTGCGTTACCTTGCTCTGCTCGACGGAGAGGGCGCCTGCACAGCGTCGTCGTCGTCTCTGTCGCTGCTCCCGCACAAAGCGCTTGATCCGCCACGCGGTAAACACCAGCAGGTACAGCGTCGTGAGCGACGCCTCAATGTAGTACGAAATCACGACGCCGATGCCCGACAGGTCCGCGTTGCCGGTGAAGGCAATCGCCTTGCAAAACTCGCGCTGGCATTTGTCGGCCGGCGCCCAAATCACATTGTCGACAAAGTCCGGGTCGACGCTCCACCGCCCGCTGGTGGCGTTGTAGGTGTGGAACAGGTGGCTCGTGAGCCACTGCGTGACGACGCCAAAGTACGCCGTGCCCGCCGGCGAGTCGACCGTCTGCGTCAAATTGCCGCCGTCGCCGCCCGCGGTCGCGTCGAAGACCCAGTCCGGCGGCAGGGCGTAGCTGACGAGCAGAATGGTGAGCGGGATGCTGCCGCCCAGCGCCTCGGCCGGGTCCCACGGGTTGGGCGCGACGAACGCGGCGAGCCACTGGCCGTAGACGGAGCAGTTGCGGGCAAAGTCGAGCTGGGACCAGTCGGGGATGGCAGCGGCGCCGGGGTTGGCCGTGCCGGGGTTGGCCATGGCCGTCATTGATCAGTGGAGGGCGTGATGCAACGGGGGACCGTTGGCTGTGGTTCCGTCTTTCAGATGCTGTGTGTGCATCTCGTCGCGACACGACATCGACACGACATTGGGATTTTATTACGGACGACGGCGATCGACCCACGCATTCTGTCTGGTCGTGCCCTTGGCCTCTTTCTGTCAGGTTTACGGAATCCAGTCTCTTTCATCGTCGACGCTAGAACCAACTAGCCTTGTGGCGTCGAGCAATACGAGTACTTCCACCAAAACGCACTGCCCCTAAACCAACCATCGGGCACAGGTGGGTTTGACTCAGCCGCTAACAAGAACCAAGGGAGGTAAATGTTGGCGACAAACGAGGATGGTCAACTATCCTAACACCGCAGTGATAATCACGTGGCCTGACTTACACCGTCTCGGGCGTCATCCGTACTGCCTGGCGAAGCTATGGTACGATAATAAATCTCATCAACCAAATACCGGGTCCGTGTTATTCTGGTTTCCCCAGATGGACTACTTGTTCTAACCCAAGTCGGCTCGTGTATGAGTGGTTTACGTTGGTTCCTAAACAGGAAAGTAAATATACAATGTATGTTGCTTTTTAGGTGGCTTTTTGTTCGACACACCGGGAAATACAGCAATTATTAGCAAATTATGTAGAATTAAATTACGTCTAAATATTATTTCCAGGATTTACTCTTCTTGAAATAGATGGACACAAGCAGATCACCGGGAAGATGACATCACCAAACCCAGGTCAGGGATCTGTGCGCGACAGGACGGTACCCAAGCTGAGACGGACATCGTCTCATATACTTCAGACTGGGGCACGTAGGAGCTTGAATGGAAGTAAAGCCAAAAAATAAATAAATAAATAAATAAATAAATAAATAAATAAATAAATAAATAAAAAGAAAAAAAACCTCGACTTTTCAAATTCTGTTTACCAAATCTTCCGTGTTGACGTTCGTCTTGGCGGTCTTGACAGACAGGTCGCTGGTGACCCCATATTCGACATCGATACCACACATCACACGAAAATCGCGACCGAACCGAGTATGGGCACCCAGAGCAAGCGCCAGGTGCGCGCCGCCCTGGCATTTGTGGCGCGGCCGCTGTTGTTTGCGATTGCATTGACAGTCGTGGTACGGGTTCTGTTTGGTGGAAGCACGTCGCGGTCGACACCAGCAAAGCACGGGCCGCAAAAGGGCCGCCAGCACGGCCTCGGCGGCGACGCACCAACCAGCCAGCACGACCTGCATCGCTACGACCGTGGCCAGGAACACCGGACGACGACCGCGCTCGTCGTCGCCTCCAGCAGCCAGATGGTGGCCAGCGGCGAGACCGCGTGGCTGGCGGACGTGCCGGCGGCCTGGCAGCCCGTGTTCCACTACGTCACGGACGCGCCGCTGTCGCCGCAGCTGGCGGTGCCCGTGCACAAGGGCCGCGAGGCCATGGCCTACCTGACGTACATTGTCGACCACTACGACGCGCTGGCCGACGTCGTCGTCTTCCACCACGGCCACCGCCGCGGCTGGCACCAGGCGATGGACGCGGCCGACGAGGTGCGCCGCCTGCGGACGGCGTACGTCGCCCGGCGCGGCTACGCGTCGCTGCGCTGCCTGCCCGGCTGCGAAAACGTCATCGTGCTCGCCGACTACGCCGTCGACCAGGCGCAGATGCACCGGCACGCGCGCGACGTGCAGCTCACCACGCTGCTCGACGACTTCCTCGACAGGGACGCCGGCGAGCGCGTGCCCGTGCGGCTGGCCGCGCCCTGCTGCGCGCAGTTTGCCGCCAGCAAGACGGCCATCCGCCGCCGCAGCCGCGCGTGGTGGGCGTCGCTGCGGCAGTGGCTCATCTCGACGCCGCTGGCCGACGCCGACAGCGGACGCCTGCTGGAGCACACCTGGCACGTGTGGCTGGGCAACGAGTCGTACCAGTACGTTGGCGAGATCCCCCCCTTCTTCTCCACAGACGGTTTACCTTCTGTTGCTTTCTTCGCTGACGTGCCAGCTGCCCACAATACGATGCTTGCCAGTGCCATACGTACGGCATTGGAGCCGACTGCGAGGCCTACTATGGGCTCGAGGAGGCGATGTAACTTGACGGAGCCGGGATCATGATGATTCGCCGTCTCGTTCTGTGTTGTATCCGTGTTTCGTACCTCTGCATTGCGTACGGCGTTGGGCGTTTGTGACCTTTAGTTGTTTAGATGCAAATAGTTTTAAACATATGATCGTCTTGGAGAAGTGGCAAAACAGGAAACATGGACATCGCGCGGTACCTGGAGACAATTATTGTCACGATGGCTGCGACGAAGAACAACCAGCGGGAGGTCAAATGTTAAGGATGGAGTTGCCAAGCCATTTGGCGTCACTTGCACAAGCAAAACGAAAGGACAACTATGAATGACCGTGTATAATGCCCCAAACCGAGCACCTCGGTAGGCTGAACGAGGTCTACCCAACAGAAACATAGAGTCAAAGGGGAGCAGCCTCGACCATGAGCGCGGAACGAGGCGCTGCTGCGCCTTGCAACGATTCTGGACAGAATGGGTTAGCTGGGCGGCTGGCGAGTACAGTCAACGGCCACTTGCGGATGCCTTCTAGGCTTATCCTTATTTGGCGAGAAGAGGGAGGCATCCGTGCTCAGGACTGACACGATAGGACTGTTTGTTTGTGTCCGGCATGCCATGAGGATAGGCATCCGTTTGGAGGCATTTTACAATGAAAAAGGCTTGACATGAACAACAAGGAAATGAAGCGCCGAGGCATAAACAATATTCTGTCGCCAACGGCCTCGATAATGACGCTCAAATGGTTGCAACGCGCTGCGCACCGTGAAACTACTTAAACACGACAGCATCACAAGACAAACGAGGAGAGGGTAGACAGACCACGCCCAACACGACAGCTAGGATCAACCTCCGCCTTACCATATCCAACCCATCGCATCGCTCCACTGTACTCGGCTTGACATTCTCACAGTCCACCTCCCACGCCACGTCACCCAGTTAGCCTGCCATGGCCGACGACGGCGACCCCAACCTGCCGACGTATGCGGCCACAGATGACAACGACTTGGTCGCGTGGATCGACCGCATGGCCGCCCGCGCCGACGAGCTCGGTCTGCCGCTGACGCACCCGCGCTTCAACACGCAGATTGTGTGGACCAAAAAGGACAATGTCACCGTGGGCCGGCGCTGGGCCGGCACGCTGGGGTACATTGTGCCGGCGGGGGCGGCGGGGGCGGGGGCGACGGAACCGCCCGAGTTGGTGGCAGCGCTTGAAGCGTCCGAAACGGCGGCGGCCCTCCTGCAAGACCAAAAGACCATCATCGAGACCTTCTTTCGGCTCGTCCGCATGGGCCAGACGGGGCTGGTGGTGCGGATGGTGCAAAAGGGTCTCGTGAGCCCGGACGTGACGGACGGCGCCGGCTACGAGACCATGTACGGCATGCAGTACATTCCGGAGGACAAGGCGAAGGAGCAGCGAGCCGACATGGCGAGGCGGAGGAAGACGCGCGGCACGCGCCAAACGTGGTGGCAGACGAAGAGCAGCGATGTGGCGACCAACCGGAATCCAAAAGACACGCCCGCCTCTTTGCTCGCCCCGCCTCTGACGTCCACCAACCGCGGCGACCCGTGGAACGGCGCCACACCGTTGCTGACCGCCGTCGAGGCGGGCGACGCGGCCATGGTCCGCGTCCTCGTGCACCTGGGCGCCGACATCAACCGCATGGCCCGCCCGCCCGACCTGCACCGCGCCACCACGAGCGCGCGTCCCAGCGACAGGGGCCACGGAGACCACGGCATGGACGATGCCCTGGACCGCCGCGTCCGTCGCACGCCGCTCATGCTGGCGGCCGCCCAGGGGCGCATCGCCTTGGTGAGGTTGTTCTTCGAGGAACTCCATGCCGACGACGCTCTCGTGGCCCCCGACGGCTACCACGCCCTCCGCCTGGCCGCCGAGGGCCGCCACCGCGCGACTGTCGCCTTGCTGCCCGCCCGCCGCGGCGGCGCCTGGGCCCGCTTCGCGACACGCCACGGCCGTGCCATGCAGCGCATCGCCAAGGCCGGCCGCAGCATCGTGTGGTTCACCACGACGTTGGGCCAGGTTGTCCTGTGGCACGTCCCCAAGTTTGTGCTCTGGACCGTCCCAAACGAACTCCTTGTCCAGCCGCTCGGCCGCGGGAGCCGCTACCTGTGGCAGCACCGCAAAATCATCCTTCCGGCCATGTGCCGTTTCGTACAGAAGCTGCCCCGGCGCCTGTGGACCGGCCTCAAAGATGTCTCCAAGTTCTTGTGGGAGATGGCCAAGGGCCTGGCCCAGATGACTGTCGCCTTCATCCAACACATCCCCAAGGCGCTCAACGTCGCTGGCGCGTGGCTCGTCGCGACCCTCAAGACGGCCGCCGGCGCCATCGCCCACGCCGGCGGCCGCGCTCTCTCGGCCATCCACACCGCCGTGACGGCCATCGCCACGTTCTTCCACACCATCACCCTGGCCGACGTCCTGCGCGGCTTCCAGGCCGCTGGCCGGGCCGTCTTTGTCGGCCTCCCCATGGCCGTCTGGACGTGTGTCTTGCTGTTGGGCGCGTACGCGGTGCGCGCGGCCCACGTCCTCTTTGGCGGCGTTGCGTTTGTCATTTACTTAATCGCCCTCATCCTCGTCCACATTGCCATGTTCGTGCCGCGCCAGCTGTGGCGTATCTTGACGGCCCTCGGCAGCTACATCTCCGGCGCCTTCCACGAAGTCGTTGTCTGGTTCGATCCGAAGCGTGTCTAAGTATCGCGCGGGGGGGGGGGGGGGGGTGAGTTCTTGCAAGATATGTTGGACTGTTGGATGGTGGATGTTGGTTGCATTTGTGCCCTTGTTTTGACCATCCATTCCTTACCTTTTTCTATTATAATAACTTCAGTGTCTAATTGAAGCCAACCGACTCTCGATTGATGTCGTCGTTGACTTCCAACGCTCGTCATGTGACTCTGCTGCTAGAGCTTGGGGCTCGACATTCTTCCAAGCAGATCCGTGCGGTTGCACATCACAACAGCCCTTGTTGTGCGCGTGGATGGGGCCCATGTTGGCTTATTCTATGTCGTTTCCTGTGCGTATCCGTCCGCGCAAAACACATATTCCCTACATCGATCGACTGCATGCGATGGACCGTGCCACCTATGACAGTGCTTGTCGTATGGCCAGTCGAAGCGCTGCAGCATAGAGTTTTGCTTCTGTATGTTTGCCTTTCGGAAACGTCGGCGTCGGCTCAGTGGCTCTGAACCGCCAGCAGGGAAAAGACAAGGAGACGTTGCGACTTGTCGAGATGCGTACATCATGCATTTCGTCTCAAAAGAGACCACTCCCGGCCAGTCGGTCGTCGACAACCAAATCGATCCGATACGGCGCAGTGATCTGCTGACGAAATCCAAGGCCAGCATCAATGCATTGGATCAGCTCAGCCCCAAACGCGAAACAAACGACCCGCTTGCACGTCACGGCGGTATTGGCATTGGGCGGGAGGACGACCACTCAAGGTTCCTGGACTGTGCATCGCTGAGATAAGATGAGGCATCATGCACAGCGTCTCCCTGCCAGCATAACCTGATCTGATGATTGGCCGGCTGTGGGTATCCAACATACTTTGTGCTTCTTTTTTGGTGTCTTGCGGCCACATGGCTCTCCAGTTTTTGTGCGGAGACAGATCGTCTCGATAATCCAAAATGTTGCATTCCAGGCGAGAAGACACGATAGGGCGTAACTTTGGAAACTTGTTCCCCTTTTCCACGTGTGCCATCGTTCCTGCCCCAATTCCATTTCTTCGCCGAGTTCCCTCTTTCCCTGCTCAGCCAGGTGTTACTGCCGTCAGCCTGACATCTTGTCTCGCCACTGAAGAAAAGGAAGGACCTTTTGTCTCGTATCTGACAGAAGGAAAGAGTGTTCGACAAACGCCACGCGCGGTTTCCCACTCGAAATGGAACGATGCAGTTGCAACAGAAAAGGTCCATTGCAAAAACTGTGCAAGGCCCGCAACCCCCTGCATTGACCACCCCACTTGGTGCTCTGGCCGAGACGCCAGCGACGCTAGAGTCACTCGCACGGGCGTCGCCATGCAGTTGTTTAGCCTCCCGGATACATTAGCTTTTTCAGCGAGCTTATCATGGAGTGTTGATGTGAGGGCCTGCTTACCAGGGAACGGATTCTTTTAGGAAGGAGCGACCACGCTGCAGATGGCCCACACTACTTGAAGAAGAAGGAAGGAAGAAGGAAGGAATGCTGCGCCGAAAAAGGTGCAGAAGAAGGAAAGAACGAACTCTAGTACACATGCGAGGACGATACATCGGCCCTGCGACGTCGCGATGAGGAAGGCGCGAGTGAGGCTACGAGTGAGCCGCGAACCATCTTCATAGCTTGCCAGAGAAACGAGAAGCAAAGAGAGGAATGAGCGACAGGAACGAGACTGTACAGGAAAGAGAGAACGACATCAAACCTCACAAATAGAGATCAGACAAGCTCTTTCCTTTTCCCCCAGCTTGGCTCTGCTCGTCATTTCCCAGCGCAATCTCTTGCTCCTTAGACTTTACGGTGCACGAAATTGCATCCCAGCACGCTTGTCCTGCGGAGAGTCTAGCGAGGTGCGGCTGGACAGGACAGGTCGACCGTCGGCCTCCACAATTCTTGCTGCTTTCGTTGCGAGATGGCGGCGTCGGCCCAATCACGCCACTGACGTCTCTCTGTGAGTTACATCGTCCTCGCTGAGACTTTGCCTTCTCGTCGTCTGCCTCAGTGCTGCTTCGCTCCTTCCCTGCCACCTCCGGCTGAGTGTTCTTTCTCGCTCGGACAGGAGCCCCTGTTCGCGCCTTCCCTCTTCCGCCTGGGGCGCTCTCCACCTCCCCTTTGTCTTTTATCCAGAATCGCTTGTTTCGACTTCTCTCTCCTCTTTTTTTCTTTTTTTTTCTTCTTTTTCTTCTTTTTCTTTCCACTCTTTCCACCAATGCAGAATCATCCCCCAATGCTATGCTGTCAATGCTCCCTTGCTTGCCCACGCTCTTCGCATGCTTGTCTGTGGGTGCCAGTGCATGCAAGCATTCTCAGCGTGGGTGGCCTTCCACACTTTCCATGCATGGCCCCTTTGGCACGTTCCCGCTAGACAAGGGTGTCTCTGCACTCAGTACGAAGTAGTCCTCTCTTGTCTTCAGGAACTGCGAATATTGCCCTGACGATTGACAGGGGAGCGAACAGAAAAGACGAATCCGGAGTAGTGCTCCATGTTGAGGATGACCGGCGGGCCTGCTTGCCATTGAGCTGTTTTCTGTTTTCAGAATTACGCCGGGCCGCCGTGTCTGGGTTCTGGACTCCGCTTTGGTCCTTTTCGTTGTTTTTCTCTTTTTCCCTTGCTTTGTGGTGGTAGTGTCGGCCTTTTTGTCACGCTCCATCTCGATCTCCCCATTGTTTGTCAAGTTGTCTTGTCTCACTTGTGTGTCTCTTCCCGTCTTTCTTGTCTTATCTAGTCTTCTTGCTTATTCTCTCCTTTGCGCCTGCGACGTATTCTGTACTTTTCCACACTTTTTCCACCTCCTGTTCACTCCTTTCGAACCAATTGGCGATCGCCGACGTCTCTCTCCCCTTCGACACGACATCGAAATTACATTCGAATTTTTAATCAAAATCAAAACCAAAACCAAAACAACAAACATCGGCGCCTTCAGTCTTGACAACTGCCCAAGAATCTCGCCAACGGTTCTCTCATAGGCTGTGTCCCCCGACAGTCTCCCATTCTTCTCGCCACAATGCCCACCTTCATCGAACGCATCCAGTCCAAGCTGGAGCTCTTCCGCCTCGAAAAGCGCTACACCCGCAGCCGCAACCGGCGCTCGACCTTCGTCTCCAACGCCATCTACGTCGACGGCGAGTACGTCTACCAGACGCCCGCCTCCACTGGCTCGTCCTTCAACACATCGACGTCGTCCGCCAGCCGGCAATCCCGTGCCTCCCGGACGCCTTCGTCGGCATCACCAAACAAGCTGCGCAACCGTCTGTCGATGCCCTCTTTTGGCTCCTTGTCCAAGGGATCGAGCCGCACACAAGACTGGCAGACACAGTACCCGGCCATTGACGAGAGCCGTTAAAGAGTGGTCACAATTTCGCCCATTCTGGTGGACAAGACACATACCTCTGACACTCACGCGCGCGCGCGCGCACACACACACACACCAAGACGCCGGCAGGACTCTTTGGCAACGTCCTAAAGAACACCACGATCGTTGAATCTTTTCTTCCTCCAACCCCCCCTTCTCTCTTGCTCTACATCGAGTGAGAACGGGTCCCGCGACACACTCTGAACAGCTTCCACCATTTTTTGAGTTTGCATTTTGATTCGACTCCAGCTTTTCCCCATCCTTTTACCATTTATGACATCGGCTGCACGCATTGGACATATACCAGCGGCGGTCTTGTTCGACGATCCTTATTACTTTTCTTTTTGTCCGTCGCTCATCATCTTTCTCAGCGAATTGTCTCAGTTTTTCATACATTCTCTAGGGTAGCGCATTCTACTCCTCTCTTATTATTTCCTTACATGTTGTATTCCATTTTGTTTTCCTGTCCTTGGATGACCCGCACAGCGCCATTGGACAATTTTATGGCAACTGACGGGGAACTCAGACCGACGAGAACGGTCTGATGCGGTTTTATCGCGTTTTTTTTACGCACATTTAGTGTACGATCACAGTTTTGTTTTATTTGCGTCATGACGGAGGAGAGGAAAGAAGCCGTTGCTTTGCTTTTCGTGTAAATACAAAAGCAAACATGCAAGGCCAGCAACAGCGGTTGGCCGCTTTTTTATGTACATATTTTTATGCCATATCTTGGATGGCAATACTTATTGAACTTGTTTTTGGATATTCTCGCACTTCATTGGTTCGTTTGTGCAAATGTCAACAAAACTAACGAAAAACGAACCCCTCAGGTTTTCCGTTAGATTTTCAATACCAACACCACCAAATCACACAACGACAGATGCGACTGTTGACAGACACAGTACTGGTGGCGTACTTCTGCACGCCACATCTATCGGCAGCGTTTCTGAGACCCGTCAATTCAATGCGTTTGATGGAGCCGAACAAGTCTTTACCTTTGCTCACTTGTCCATTGCTTGTCCTACACGGACACCCGCATTCTGCAGCCAAGCAAGGGGAATTCGTCCACTCAATCTTTCTTTCTTTTTTTCTACCATCACATACCCTGGTGACCTCCACCCTGCCGCCATCAGTGACGCTTAGCTCGCCCCAATGCGTTTTGGTAAAGAAACAAGCGCCCGGCCTACCGGCGAGGGCCCGAGCCCATGTGCATCGGCCGCACGCTCTCGCCACGGCCTTGGGCGCGTCCAAGGTTCGGCGTCGTGACCGACGTTGAGTTCACCTGTTGTGCTTTGTCATGTTGACGCGGGGGGAGCATACCCCGTCGTCCGGACCCAAGATCGATGCGAGACACCCGGGCAGCGCCTGCACCAGGCTGCTTGTCCCCAGCGGCCGCATATGGCGATGCAGGCTGCACTGGCCGTCAAGCCGAAACGTCGGGCCGAAAAATGTCGAGCTGATATGCGACTAAATGACGAGACATGCGGTGTGGCGTTGTTCTCATTGGGGGCGGGCACCAGGCATCGCGGGCGACGTTCGGTGGTGGTCCCGTTGGCGGACGTTTCGTTCATGCACGCGGAGCCAACAGCAAATGTTTGTTTTCAAAGGTGTGCGGAATACGGCCCGGCCGTGACGCGGAGAAGCAGTTGGGATAGCCACAGTGGTCATAGTCGGTCTCAAACTCGGCTGGCCATGGAAATTTGCTTGTCGACATCATCGCCGCTTGCATGTCGTCCATGACGTTTTCGACGTATCCGATGCTGTGTGTCCTTGGGTCCTGGCCCACAGCCGATGCGTGCACGTTGGCCGGCTCGGCGGGCCCGTGTCATTGTTGCCGGAGCAAGAGGTCTGGATGCGACGGCGGGGAGAGGAGGGTGCGGTTGTTGTGATGGGTGGTCGTGGATGGACAAGGTCGGTGACGACGGGGGCGCTTGTCGATGGTGACACCGTGGTTCGATTGTGATTTCAGGCGAAGACGGGCGCGATGGAGGAGGCATAGACTGTGTAGCCGTCGGAGGGGCCATGATGGCCAAGCTCTGGTTGATCTGGAGGGTGAGCGAGTCAGTATGCCAAACGTTGGCACGAGAGGCCAAAGGCAGCTTGGCCGACCAGAGTCAGGCGGACGAGTCCGACGCCCCGAGCCGACGGCAGTGAGGTGGCCGGTCCGGTCGAACACTCTGCCGCCGGCACCCACGAGGTTCAGGCCAGTGCCTAGTTCTGGTACGTATGGTAACACTCGGCGGTCTGCTGTCATGGAGTACTGCTTGCGTGACATTGAGGCAAAGCCGCGCTCGGCCAGTGCCGTGGGGAGAAATGGCTTGCACGGACAGATGCATCGGTGACCTGGTCATTTTTGGCCCTGTGAAATCGAGCTCTCGAGCTCTGTCTGGTGATGGCTTGTGCAAGTTGCCTTTGAGGACGTCAACCATCCAGCCCCAACGCCCCCCATCTCTTTAGTATTCAACGATGCGGTCAATGTGAGGTTGCGTTTCTAACTTGGCCAGATTGACGGGCACTCGAGAAACAAGACGAAGTAGTCCGCGGAGGACAGGGTGCCATGACATGAGTGCTCTGTATGACAACCTTTGCGCGTTCCACGGTGTGCCGCCTCCTGTGGTGTGTCGACCTTGTTCACTTCATTGCTTGCATGTGTTTCAGGTTCAGCATAAGAAAAAGAGATATTATTAGAGGAGTATTTTGGAGGGGGTATCGACCAAGACAAAAGAAAACCACCGCGAGTATGGAGGACTTTGACGTGTGAGTAAAAAAAGTCCCACATCACAGCAATACATGCCATCACCACGACAAGAACAGAAGCAGTACCTGTGTCCGTCTCCACAAATTATGAACAAGGTAAAACGAAGTAAAAAAAGAAGGGACAGAATAAATAAGTAATAGTAACCGGGGTATCAGAGGAGTCCAGAGTCCAGAGCGTATTTTTGAGTAGCGTTTTCCAAGGAGGATGGTGAGATGCCAATGACGTTCCAGTCAATTTTGTCACGTTGGTCACTGCCACCCACGACCAACCACAATCGCCCCCCTTTTCCACTTACGCAGTCGGGTGCTGCGGCGGCTGGGCGCCGGTGACGGGCTGCTCCTGGTACTGCTGGACGGGGGGCACACCGCCGGCGTAGGGCGGCTGCTGGACCTGGTCGGGGTCAACATAGGCCTGCTGCTGCGGCGGCTGCTGGGGGTAGACGGCCTGCTGCTGGTGCTGCTGGACCGGGTAGCCCGTGGCGGGGTCGATGGGGGCGCCCTGGGGCGGGACGCCGGCGGCGGCACCGTTGTTGTAGTTTTGCATCTCGGTGTCGACCTTGGCGGCACCGGCGGGGGCGCCGGCGGCGGCCGTGGCGCTGTTCTTGTGCCACTCGAGGAAGGCGAGCACGAGGAAGACGAGGGTGACGCAGAAGAGCACCCACAGCAGGGCGCCGAGGGCGGCGGCGGCCTTGACGCAGTTGAGGGCGTTGCGGTAGGCGCTGGGGATGCGGCTCGTGTAGTAGGAGCCCAGGTAGTGCTCGAGGTTGCCGATGGAGGTGGCCTCGCTGGCGAGGACGGCCCAGGTCGAGAGCCAGAAGATGTTGAGCAAGATCTCGACGGGGATGTGGGCGATGGGGTGGTAGAGGGCGGGGACGGCGGCCAGGCTGACGCCGAGCCAGACAAAGTAGAGGACGGTGAAGATGAAGGTGAACCAGGTGAGGCCGAAGCCGGCGGCGCCGGAGCCGAGCTTGGAGGCGGCGTAGGCGGTGAGGACGAGCAGGAGGAAGGCGAGGACGAGCTGGGCGATGCGGACAAAGAGCGTCCACTTGGGCAGCGGCAGGACGTTGGAATGGCCCTGGCCGTCGACGAAAGCAGACATGATGGGGGGGGGGGGGGAGAGAGGAGGAGAGACAGGAGAATGTAATGTGAAACGAGGTCGCGATCGACTGATGACGATGAGTGGCGATGAGAGTGGCTGTCAACAAACGAGAGGTTGTTCGCGTGCAAGGCTGGACTGAGGCAGACGAGAAGCAGAGGGGAAAGGAACGGGTGAAGAGGAGAGGTGTGGTGTGCGAGGGTCTTGGTCTTATTTAAAGGACAGAGCAAGGGAATAAAAGAGCTGGGGAGCTGGGGCTGAGGAGCTGAAAGAGGAGAGCTGCAGAGCTGGGCAATACAGATAAACTTTCAAGAGCCGCAGGGAGGGCGCCGCGTCGGAGGAGTGAGGGGCTGATGTTGGTGCTCTGTGGTCTGTACTCTGTACGCGGTGTGTGAATGAGGTATGAGGTGCGAGGACGCAGCAGTGTGACCAGTGAAGAGGAATAAAAAAGAGTACGTCGTAAGGTAAAGTGACAAACTGTGGTCACAAGCAAAAGGCGAGCCAAGACACGACTGAACCAAGGATCCAAATGTCTCCAGTCTCGTCTAGGCCGAGCCCAACAGCCCAAGACAGATTGCGCCAGGATCAGCCTCTCGCAAGGAACTACGCCCAGGCATCTCAAAGCGAACTAGGGGGTGTTTCTGGTTTCTTGTCCTCCGTGGCCTCGACATCCGTTGTGGTATTGGAACACGACTGTACGATGTAATTTGTATCAGTGGAATACGTGTAAGATACAGCCGTTGCTGCCAACCATGGTTGCAGCATGTTGTGCAGCCTGTTTGTACCCTGGACGGAGACGGCACGAGCAAGGAGCAAGGAATAAAACACAATGAGGGCAGAATCAAATGGAAGACGAAGAACAGAGACGGACGCGCTTGAACGTCGCAAGTGACCAAGCAGCCAAGATTGGGCGCATCACACTAATACAGTTATGGTATCCACTATCAGGGCTCTGCAAAGTAGTACATCGTACGAAGTAGGTCTGTTCTGGCGGTGACCTCGCCAATTCCGCACTTTTGCCGTCCCTTTGCCGCGACACCACAAACGGCATCGCATTCTCCACTTTCCAGTGCCATTTTGGATTTTGGTCGAGTTCCATCGTGCGCCTTGCCAAGCAAGCTGCAGTCCTGGAGCCGCTGGCGAGGCAGACATGGCCAAGACTGCAGACCAGCAGAAGAGAGGAGAGAGGGACAATGCACAATCGGGACGTGTGACCATGCAAACCAACCAGAACCACCCAGAACCACCCGGACAAGCCACAAAATTGGCAGACCGCATCTGGAACGCGCCGCCGGTCGGTGCTGATTGGACAGTCGTGGTGGGAGAATGGGGGAGACAAGGAAGAGACGAGACGAGACGAGAAGAAGACGAGCTGCCCTTCAAGAGCCACCAACGGCCAGAGCCAACAGAAGAGCAGTCTTTTGTCGATCATCAGCATCGTTCTTTCTTTTCTCCTTTCTCCCTTCTCCTCCTTCTCCTTCTCGCCCTGGCGACCATTCTGGGTCAGGCGTCTCGGACAGTCGCACTATTGCATGCCAAAACGAGCAGACTAGCAGACTATGCCGTCTAAACAGACCAGACTATTGGATTCTGCATGTCATGTTTTGAAGTCATTTGGGGGCGCACACGATGGATATCTTGGCAGAGTCTTTCAAGTGCCAACCAAATGCAGCCAGGGACGGTACGCAGTATCTTACATTGTTCAAATGGGATACATTGAAGCCGCCTCGAGAACAGCTGCTACGATGTAGGCTTCATCTTTTATTTCGCTTGGCCTTGTCGTATCCTGGAGGCTCTTTCTTGCACTGCGCCGTCTTACGCTGCAAGGCGACCTGCCCCTGCCCTCGCCAACGGCAACAATACCGCCCTGTGGGTCTCTAATTTTAACACGGGACCTGGCGCAGATGTTCGAATTTAAGGTGTAGGCGACCCGCGGAAAACAGTGGACCGCAGTGGACCGCAGTGGATGCAGTGGATGCAGTGGATGCAGTGGATGCAGTCGCTAAAATGAGTGGAAAAATGAAAATGACATAACGCCTTAGTAGCGCCCCAACAGTGAGTCCCTAAACAAAACAAAACTGCCCTGCCGAACGAAGTCATTCAGCCCCAGCCAGTGGGGGTTAGCGACGGCAGAACCTACCACTGCCACAACAGACGAGAAATTTGCAAACGGTCTTTTACGCCAGGGAGGAAAGGCGGACAGCAGTTGCACGGTTGGCACGTTGGCACGTTGGCAAGCTGGTCCCAGGGATGCCCCATCGTGAAATCGATCCGTTGGGTCGACTGACCGGTTGGCGGCCTCACTTTTCTGTCGTCGATTGATTTTGGTGGAGAGGAGACTTGTGAGAAGGTCGAGCAGAAGAGGAGGAGGGGAGGAAAGGAGAGGGTGTGGAGAGAAAAGGTCGAAGCTATGCTAAAAAAGTGCCGTCAGGCCGTGACTCAAAGTGATCGACATGGCGACCGTGTTCGGACCCTGTCCGATGTCGCAACCACAGGAGCAAGGAACGACGCAAGAAGAGAGACTCTACGATGCAAAAATCGACAACAATCGAGCTCGAGACAAGGCACACACGAATCTTGACGACTCGGCGTTGATGCAGAGGCGGGCGGTCTCGGGACGAGCCACTGGATGGCAGCGAGCAGGATGCAGCAGTCGACGGGCGACAGAGAACGGCAGGTGCAGCGACAGAGGCCGCGGCGGTGACGGCCTTGTGTTGACACGGGTGCCCCGACGTGAGTGCGTGGTCCGCGAATTGCGCAAGCGGCGCGTACCGTCCGTGCCCTGGCCGGAGCACGGACAGCACGAGTGTCCGCATCGTTGTGTCCGACCTCGCCTCCCTGCCTCATCGTTCCGCCGCGAAATCCGCCGCACAGCGCCGCGTCGCAAACAGATTGTCCCAGCCGGCGGCCGCCACGGCTATTCACGGCATCGTGGTCCTGGATGCACGCTGGCCTGGTTGGGATGTGTATAAAACAGAAGTGAACAGGTATCTGCAGCATTATTACCGGCAAACCCAATTCTATCCTGTAGGCTGGTGTTGTCCACAGACACTCATATAAGCACAAAATGCTTGGCTGCATCATGTCATGCGATGCGGTGTTGATACCGTGCCTGTTCCTTCAGTCCGTCCATCTGCCGACGCTGGTATACACGAAATACGGGACGGCCAGATCTCGGATTTGTCTTGGCATCTCCACACTCCGCTATACAGTACAGCAGTCCATTGTCGTGAGCCGACGTCACGGCCCCTGGCAGCTTGGGAGCCTGGCGTTTGTCGTATGTCGCATTCAACGTCCACGGCGTCATCCGAGTCGGGCGATCGATTCTTGTACGTGGACGTGGTCCAAACGGACAGCGTATGGCTGCGGCACATGTTGTCCAAAGTTTACGACGGAGTATGTAGATGTATATTGTGACAGATCAACGAATTTTGAAACGTCAATCCATGTCAACAGAGCTTCTCTTCAGCTATTCAATTGCTTGGACTTGACGTCCTCACGTCTCACTCCTTACTCCTCACAATCACCTTTCATCGCTCACTCACCCGCTCTGACGAGGATTTGCGCGCAGAACGAGACACGGAGGGTGTGTTTGGTAATTGGTCGGAGACGGCGGACAGGACGTGGTGAAGACACGGGAGAGACGGCGAAGGTCAACGGGGGAAAGGGGGTCGGCGAACTACACGTGCGCATTCCAAAACATATAGAATCAAAACGATCAACACTATTGCACCGGGACCACCACCGTGTGACGCCCGGACGCGGCATGTCGGCGAGCTTGTCGACATCTTGCGTGCCCGTGTCTTCCCCCGCTCAATGCCCTGCTTTCCCGGCGCTGGCCACTCGGGGTACATAGCGGCCCACGCTTGTTGGACGACTATACCGAGGCGCCAAGCCGGTATGGTATCGATGACTCCGGCGTTCGTCGCAAGGCTACATTCGGCCGTTGTATTGATACCATTGGCGACTCTGCTCCGGGCCACCTCCGAGGCGTGTGCACGAGGGAGCATGTCGCTTGGTAGCGATAATAAGGCAGTTGTCGTTCGATGATGTACATGACGTCGTTTTGCGGTATCAGTTTTCCTGCTGTACTCCATACGAGGTATGCCATTTTCCACGTACTTTCCTCCCATTGAAAGAGCGTGGGGGCAGACTCTAGAGCTCTCTAAACAGGTCCACTGGTCCACAGGTCCACAGGTCTATCGCGGCTGTTATATGCCGACCGATTGTTACACTTTACCTTCCGCAAAAAATATACAACTATTTTCAAACTCAGCTCGTCGACATTTGTCTGCAGGCTGGTGGCACAGGAGACTCGACCACGCAGCACGTCATTTGGCAGGTCAGGACTAGGGTCGCAGTGTCCGCATCTCTGCCGCCCATGTCTTGCCCGTGTTCTGCCAATGCCTATCTGTGCCGGTGATGCAAGACTGGGTCCTTGAAAACGCCATCGGCCGCTAACCATACGTTTCGCATTTGTGGGTCGGTCTTTGTCAACAAAAGTCATCCTCTGTACGGAGTCAATACCGAGTACACCGTACTACTCCGTGCGAAGTAGCCGACCTTTGTGACAACATGTCGAGGCCCGCCAAACGGAGATCCGGAGATACATCAACGTGTATGTAAGACCTTGTACACATGTGTCATGTCGATGTGCATCGTCACGTCGCGCACTGCATTGCTCCATCCTGGAGTCTCTGTTTTCTTAGAAAAATGGGGAGGCTCAATATCCTGCGAGCAGATGGACAGGAAACAGGAAAATGGGGTGGCAATGCGACGTACAGAATACCACTTTCCAAGATTGGCACGGTTCAAGCCCCCGAGGTACACGTGCAGAGCAGTCTACGAGAGTCAACTCGGCGATCCTATTTAAGCGGCCTGTGCCGCAGAGTCATGTATATACGGAGTAGATACCCCATAGTGACAAAAGGAGCTGGAACGTCAAAGAGCAACCTGCATCCGTGGCCCCATGGAGAGCGTCTTTTAGCATCACCATGTCGGAAAAATCAGAAAAATCAGAAAAATCAGCAACCGTCGTGGACATTGCGCCCGCGGCGGAGCCCCCCATCTCGTCGTCGACCTCGGACTCGGACATTGACGCGTCGCCGACCAAGCGTTCGCGCTTTACCGGAGACGCTTTTGTGTCCGGCGCCGCCGTGGAGATTTATGAGCCCATTCCCGAGTACGAAGGCCGGCACCGATACGACCCGACGGCGGAATGGACCGAAAAGGAGGAGAAGACACTTGTTCGGAAGGTGAGGCGTTTGCTGGCTGCTCCTCTTCCGTATCCCTTGTCGCTTGTCCTCGTCCTGGCCGCATGCTGACCGCACAGTTGGACAAGCGCATCTGCTCGTGGGTCTGCCTCATGTTCTTCGCCCTGCAGCTGGACCGCGGCAACATCTCGCAGGCCCTCAGCGACAACATGCTGGGCGACCTCGGCCTGACCACCAACAACTACAACTACGGCATGATGATCTTTTACGTCTGCTTCCTGTCGGCCGAAGTGCCGTCGCAGATGATCTCCAAGAAGCTGGGGCCCGACGTCTGGATCCCCATCCAGATGGTCGTGTGGAGCGTCATTGGCATCTGCCAGGGCCTCGTCCAGGGCCCCAAGAGCTTCTACGCCACCCGCGCCCTCCTCGGCCTCGTCGAGGGCGGCTTCATCCCGGACGCCCTGCTGTACCTGTCCTACTTTTACACCAACAAGGAGCTGCCCCTGCGCGTGAGCTTCTTCTACTGCGCCTCCAACGGCACCTTTATCGTGGCCGCCTTTCTGGCGTACGGCATCCTGCACATGCGGTCCGTCGGCGGCTGGGAGGGCTGGCGCTGGCTGTTTGTGCTCGAGGGCGCGCTGACGGCCGTTGTCGGCGTTATTTCGTGGTTCTACCTGCCGCCCGGCCCGACGCAGACGGCCAGCTGGTTCCGCGGCAAAAACGGATGGTTTACCGAGCGCGAGGAGGTCATCATGGTCAACCGCGTCTTGCGGGACGACCCAGCCAAGGTGCGTCACTGTTATACGTCCATTTCTGCTTCTACTGCTGCCATACTTTCAGGACCATGTAATCTAATGCCAACAGGGCGGCATGCACAACCGGCAGGGCCTGAGCTGGACGCTGCTTTATAAGTCCCTGATGGACTACGATCTGTGGCCCATGTACGCCATGAGCTGGACCCTGCTTATCCCCGTCCAGCCCGTCGCGTCGTACCTCACGCTCAACCTCAAGGCCCTCGGCTTCGGCACGTTTGAGACCAACCTCCTGACCATCCCGGCCTATGTCCTGTTCCTCCTCCAGCTGGTCTTTTGGACCGTGGTCTCGGAGAAAATCAACAACCGCATGGCCATTGTGGCCTTTTACTCCATCTGGTGTCTGCCGCTGCTGCTGGCGCTCGAACTGCTGCCCGCAGCGGCCAGTCCCTGGAGCTGGTATGCGGTCACGCTGCTCCTCATTGGCTACCCATACATTCATTCCATCAATGGTACGAAGCCCTCATCGTCATACTGTGCATGTTGTAACATACACCGCAACGACTAACACCCATGCAGTCAGCCTGATCTCGCGCAATGCCGGTTCCGTGCGCACCCGAACGGTGGGCAGCGCCTTGTACAACATGATTTGCCAAGCCAGCTCCGTCATTGCAACCCAGGTGCGCTATACGACCGCCTCCTTCTCCTCTCCTGGCCACTCTATACACACAAAGCACACTAACAGCGACGTCATAGATCTACCGCGCCGACGACCAGCCTCTGTACAGACGCGGAAACAAGGTCCTTCTCGGCATCGTGGCCTGGAACCTGGCGATTACCGCCTTTGTCAAGGGCTACTACATGTGGCGGAACAAGACGCGCGACCGCACGTGGGGTGCCATGTCGTCTGCGGAGCGGGATGCGTATCTGCGAACCACCAAGGACGAAGGCAGCAAGCGGCTGGACTTTCGGTTTGCGCATTAGATGGGGAATAGAGCATATGAAAGGTGAGGCACGGCGATTGCTTGGCTGTAGAACACGAAAGAGAAGGAAACAGAAATATAGAAAACAAAGATCTTCTGTACATACCTCCGCAAGAGTTACGCACCATCTCCAGAACGGCCTCGAAAGACACGCAACGAATCCAGGATGTTGTTGACTGACAGCGACAGCACAGTCTGCGCGTCTGCAACTGTCAACAACACGTCAGCAAGCTCCATTGACACTCCGCTACCGCGAGTCGCGACAACGTGCGGGTCCATGTCTCGAGGGTACGTCGGTGGGACCAGACTTGTCGCGTGCGCTGACTCTCCCAGGTTCGACCGACCGCTGCGCAGATGCCTTGGCTTGACTTTGTTTTGGCAAGAACCTTTGGTCCAGCGCGTCGGCCCGCCGAACCCGTAGAACGTCACGTGAATCGCGGAAAATAGTCCGCATGCGGGAGATGGTCCAAACTTTGCATATATGAAAATATACTGTGAGAACGACTTACGGGGCAGCACGGCCTTTCCAGAGCCGGAGAATCACGGCGTCGGCATGGGGTGGAGTCACACACGGACCCTGTGCGGGACGAGCAACCAGTGGCAGCATTCATGTACATGTTCCTCTCCATCGCCCCCGGCATATGTCATGTCATTGTCTACTTCTGTCGATGCAGAATGGCGAAAGCTGTCGTCGAGTCGCGACATGGACGCCGTGCAGATGGCGCGATTGCCTCGGCGAATCACACAACTTTCGTGTAAGTCGCCCAGACCCACTTTTGACGACCTCCTCTCTGCACAGCGCCGTTGTGAGAAGCATCAACTGTGGACAGAACACGGGCTGGGATTGTATTGAAGCCGGTTATTTTTGTTCAGATGCAGGAGATGGAACGAAGCGTTCGAGTCATTTCACGCCAGCGGAACGGTTGCACTGTGACATCGTCCATCCTGCAGACTCCGTACTTGGCATTCTAGACTGGCCTCCATCTTCACAGTTAACAGTTATGCCCAGCACGGACTAGCATTGCTCTCTCACTTGGTTTCTACTTTTGGCAGCTTGATCCGTCCCCTCCTTTCTGCATGAGGCGAGTCCGCCCCCGGTTTCTCCGGGCCCTGTGTTTTGAACGGTCGTACTCAACTGTACTCCATACAGTCCCTGCTGTCCCGGAGAAGGCAACTCGTCAAACAGCCCCAGACCAACAGACCAAGCAGGCTTTAGCCGTCGATCAGGCGTTGGGGCATTGGCCAAAAGAGGGGCGCCCTTGCGACATTCGTGATCGATATGTCGTTGTACCCCGCGGAAACGAGAAAGACAGTCGACAGCAGCGTTCGAGCTGTTTGTGCTTGTGCTTCTTGTGCTTCTTGGACGTTTGTCGTGCCGTGAGTCATTGACCATTGACGTGGGTTCTGTGTCCTCGCGGAGCTCGCTGGCCGGTCTCGCAGAGGTGTTGGACTCTTGTCGTTGTCGTTGTCTTCAGTGAAGGGCACATCTGCCTGACTCTCCCGGATCGAGTTTCCCTCGGTCGATATAAATAGGAACCCTTGCTCAAAACCTCGACGGAGACAGAAGCCCCCTTTCTATTTCCATCTCTTGCATCTCGATCACAGATCCGATTATCTGATCGTACATGCTACTGCCCATTGCAAACGCCTGCAACGACGCCTCACGCAGAAATTGCAGATAAACGTGCATCGAGGAGCATCCATTACCTAAATATACCCCCATACCCCCATCTTCATCCCACCCTTCTCACACTCAACCCCCCACAGTCTCCGACAACATGGCGCCCTCAGCCATTGAGACCATCACGATCCCTGAGCCCCCCAAGCTGCACACCACCACCGCGGCCACCGGCGACTACAAGGAGCTGTCCCCCACGCGCTTCAGCCGCGAAGACGAGGTCGCCGGCACCGAGGGCTTCGAGGCCGCCAAGTACCCCCACTACCTGCCCACGTGGAACCCCGACGAGCACTACCCGCCGCTGCAGCCCTTTGAGCACCACGAGCACGGCAAGGACGCCGACACCACCTTCCCGGAGCTGCTGCCGGCGTCGGCCCAGCGCGTCGACCTGACGCCCACCATTGGGTCCGAGGTGCGCGGCGTGCAGCTCAGCACGCTGTCGGACGCGGGCAAGGACCAGCTGGCGCGGTTTGTGGCGGAGCGCAAGGTGGTGGCGTTCCGGTTGCAGGACTTTGCCGACCTGCCGATCCAGCAGGCGCTCGACTTTGGCGGCTACTTTGGGCGCCACCACATCCACCCGACCTCGGGCGCCCCCGAGGGCTACCCGGAGATCCACCTGGTGCACCGCGCCGCCGGCGACCGCACGGCCGAGGCTTTTTTTGCGTCGCGGACCAACTCGGTCGCGTGGCACTCGGACGTGTCGTACGAGCAGCAGCCGCCGGGCACCACGTTTCTGTACATCCTGGACAAGCCCGAGACGGGCGGCGACACGCTGTTTGTGGACGGCGTCGAGGCGTACAACCGCCTGAGCCCGGCGTTCCAGCAGCGGCTGCACGGCCTGCAGGCGACGCACTCGGGCATCGAGCAGGTCAACTCGAGCGTGGCCCGCGGCAGCATCAAGCGCCGCGAGCCCGTCTACAACGTCCACCCCATTGTGCGCACGCACCCGGCCACCGGCGAGAAGGCGCTCTACGTGAACCAACAGTGTATGTCCTCTTGTCACCTCGAATGTATTTTGTTATTTCTTGGACACTCCCACTAACCACTAACCCCCAGTCACCCGGGAAATCGTCGGCCTGAAAAAGGAAGAGTCGGACGCGCTGCTCGACTTTCTGTACCACCACCTGGCCCTCGGCGCCGACTTCCAGGCCCGTGTCAAGTGGGAGGAGGGCACCGTCGTCGTCTGGGACAACCGCGTCACCCAGCACACGGCCCTCGTCGACTGGAAGGGCGGTGCCCGTCGCCACCTGGCCCGCATCACGCCGCAGGCCGAGCGGCCCTTTGAGACGCCGTTTGAGGCGAAGGCATGAGTGGCGGTGGCGAGCGGCGACGGCGAGCCAAGTGAGAGCATGGCATGGGTATGAAAAGCTAAGCAGTCCACAAACGATAGCATTCATGAGCATTGCATTGATGATTCGAATCGTATTCTCAAACCTCTTAAAATCGTATCTCGTACATCGTATCTCGTATCTCGTAATCGTAATCACAAGTCTCCTTCACCGTCACAGAAACGACGGAATCGTATCAAGAGGACCCTTGTCTTGCTCGTCTCTCCTGTGCTCGCGCCGGCGCTTCCTCTCGTGCAGGCGATGGGCCTTTTCCTGCGCCCGTCGTTTTCGTAACGTCTGCATCAAGTCACCTGCATCGTCGAGGTCGGCAGGGTCGTCGTCTTCCTCATCTTCGTCATCACCCTCCGTCTCATGCCTGGCCTGTACATCCCGCGCTTGGACATCTGGCGCAAACGAGACGGACCTCTTGTCGGGTGGGCCGTCTCGGGCGGCTGCTATTCGATTTTGGCCAGGTGTGGTGGCCACTGGGTGTCGCGGTGAGCGTGGAGGGACGTATGGTGACGATGTGAGTGGCCGGGCGGTCGTCTTCTGCTTCACAGGCGGTCCATCCAGGTCGTCGTCGTCGTCATCGTCGTCGTCGACTTCCCCACCTCCAACACGGCTGCCTAGCACAACGGCCGACGGTCGGTTCCCCGCAACAGATGCCAGCGACACCAGCGATGGTCGGCCCTTGCGTGGGTCGCTCTCCATCAGATCGTGCAGTGCCGTGCCCGCCCAGGGTGTGTTATCCTTGTCGTCTTCGTGGTTGTCATCGCCATCGCCGGCATCGTGGACCAACCCGACGGCACGCACAGCCGCTGCCTTCTTGGCTCGCTGCTTGGCCGCCGCCGTGCGCCGTGCCACGCGATCCCGTGCCGCTGCCGAGACGCCAGTCGTGACCGTCGGCCGGGCGAGCGAGCGAGACGCTGCGGCTACCGGGCCCTTGGCCTGCTGGGCCCGCCGCTTGAGTCGCTGGTAGGCGGCGGCGTGGAGGTGGGCCGTGAACGTCTGGGCGACGGCGAGCAGCTCGTCCTCGACCATGCGGTAGCGGTCGTCGTGGTCCATGCCGTCGACCATGAAGCTTTCTGGGGGCGGTGCCGGTGGTGGCGATGTGGACGGTGTGCGGACTGTTTGTTGGTTTTGAGACGCATGTGCGCTTCCCTTTGAAGACGAGGACTTGGCTATCTTGGGCGCACGGCGGGTGTTGCCTTCGTTGTGGCTGTCGCCGCTGTTGTCGTCGTCGTCGTCATTGTCGTCCTTGCGACGTCCTAAGCGACTCGATGCACTAGGCGAAAAGGACCGGCGATGTGCAGACCGTGGTGGCCGTGGCCGTTGCCTTATCTGGCCACTTGCGCCTTGTCGTGCCCATGGCAGTTTGCGCGCCATGTTTGTCGTCTGTTGTGATGATACTCATCGTATGGCAACTGTTGTCGGCACGTCAAGGCAACCCGCGACGACGCGTTTAGTGGCGGCTACGATACAGTGCGGAGTGCCATTTAGTGCAGACTTTCACTGCGTATTACAGTGTGTATTGACCATGCTTACTGTAGCAATGTACACTGTGTCACCAAGTCTCACACACGAGATCGACGACTTGTATAACAAACTTTGGCGATGCTTCTCTTCAACAGTAAGTGCACAACACCGGTCCATCACTTGACCGGCCGCGATCTGCATGCATAGAGCGATCAGTCGGCGAGGGATTTTTTGGATAATTTTACAGCCCGCGGGCGACAACGATATTACGGAATATGCCAGTCCCGGCCGGGACGGCCTGAGCTACAGACAGACGGAGGTGGAAGAGGAAATTAAAACGCTGCTCGTCTGCCGTGTCTGCTGTGTCCGCTGCTTGTGACCGGCGCTGCACAAAGACTCGCTTTTGCGATCGTCAGGGACCGCTGGCTGGTTGCCTCCCGTTTGGGAAGTCTCGTAGAACAATTGGACAGAACAAAAAAGAAGGTCGCGCTTGGTGCGACACATCAACTGTCTCATCGAGCGCCGAAGAAAACGAATCGCTGAGTCGTTGCAGGCGTTGCTGCGTGAATGGCCGGACGAGTGGACAGTAGACAACGGAAACAAACGCATCTTCAAACGCCGCCGATGCTATCCACTAATGACAGGTCAACACAGCAGGCAAACGGCAGGCGGGCAACGGTAGCCTCGCTGTGGCATGTGCCCCGCAGGGAGGTATCTTACCTGAAGCTCCGTTGCAGAACCGCCGTGTTCCTGGCGAATGCGCTGCTGCGATTGGCCAGGTGTTTGAAACAACGCCAAAAAGCACTAATAAAGCGGCCCCGATCGCCCAGCAGTGCCCTGTGCGTGCCAAAACTGTGGCCAGGAACCACCAGGCACCACCAGGCACCACCAGGAATGCACAGCCGGTCCCACCTTTCCAGATCGGCACTGGCAGGCGGCTGGGACGCAACGCCATTGGGTGGCCAGCAGTGTAAGTTGAGAAAAGGACATCCATTCCTCTGACCCCAACCACAATACGTCGTAGGCCCACCGCCCCGTGCATGTTTGTCTGTGGGCTCCCATCCATTGTTTGGAACGACTGGCCATGAGCAAACCGACTGTACGACATATAACGACATACAGCCATTCAAACAGCGTGCCTGAATGTTCATGAAACAAGTCGACTTGGGGCTGGACAGGCGGGCGATCACAGAACACACGGAAGGCGAAAGCCAGTAGCCACACGAAGGACCTGTACAAGTGTTTGTGCTTGTGTCCTTGTGTCCTCTTCGGTGCGCCTCCAAGTGACAGGTGAACAATGTGTAGCCTCCTCGTTAATCATGTCCTCGTTCAGGTCCTCGTTCTAGTGTGCCCCGTTTGCTCCTTCCCGCCGCAGTATGCCCGCGCCTGTGTGAGCAATGAACAAGCTTTTCCTGCACCTCCTGCCTTTTTTGCTTCCTGCACTGTACCGTACAAACACTTCGGGAAGGCACGACTGGGTCGTTCTTTCCTGTTCCTGCCTCCCTCAGGCGTGAGCAGGTTTTCGAACTGGTTGGGTGAACAGTCCTCCTTCTCCCAGACATATAAAAGTTTGCTGTCCGGACGTCCTCTTGGCATCTTTTCTTTTCCCTCTCTTCCTTTTCCATCAACATCATCAACATCATCAACCAATACTCTGCAACATACTGCAACACACGCGACACGCACAACGTACGCAACCCAAACACACACTCCCTCGAACGTTGCTACTGTCTTCTGGTAAGACAGTTGCTACATAGTTCACATCGTCCTCCCTCTCTCCGAAACATCGCCAACTTTCGACTTGCTGCGATAGTCTTTCTCCTTTCCTCTTTCTCTAAGGACTGTCTCAGGAAGACATCATCATACACAGCACCTACTGTCTCAACCTCTCCCTGCTCACACCACACACACCACGGACATCATGTTCGCCCACGTCCTCACTGTGGCCCTCGTGGCCCTTCTCTCGGCTTCCCCCGTTCTGGCTCACATGACTCTGGCCTCGCCTGTTCCCTTTGGCAACCCGACCACGTCTCCCCTCAACTCGGACGGCTCCAACTATCCTTGCCAGATTGTCGGCTCGGCTTCCACGTTCTACGCCGACTCCGCCTCGTCTGCCAACAACACCATGGCCTTGGGCGCCACCCAGACCCTCAGCTTCCACGGCAGCGCCGTGCACGGCGGCGGCTCCTGCCAGCTGGCCCTGACCACGGACCTGCAGCCCTCCGCGTCCACGTCGTGGCAGGTCATCCTGAGCATCGAGGGCGGCTGCCCTACCACCGACGGTAGTGGCCCCAGCACCTACGACTACACCATCCCGGACTCCATTGCCCCCGGCAAGTACGTCTTTGCATGGACCTGGATCAGCAAGCTGTCTGGCGCCCCCGAGTACTACATGAACTGTGCGCCGGTGACCATCACCGGCAAGGCCGCCAAGCGCGATGCCATTGAGGCGCGTGGCGGCAGCGCGTCGTCTTCGTCGTCTTCGTCGTCGGCCCTCCCCAACCTGTTTGTCGCCAACCTAGCCTCCATCAACAGCTGCAAGACCACCACCAGCACCGACCCCGTCTACCCCGACCCCGGCCCGAACCTGCTGAAGCCCAGCAAGATGACGACCAACTTCCAGCCGCCCTCTGGAACCGACTGCTTCCCACGGGGTGCCTCGTCGAACTCGTCTTCTGGCTCTGGCTCTGGCTCTGGCTCTGGCTCTGGCTCGTCCAGTGTCGCTGCTGGCTCTGCCTCTAGCGCCGCTCCCGTTGCCGCCTCCTCTTCCAAGGCCACCTCGGTGGCCGTTCCTGCCACTACGCTGACCACACGGACAAAGTCGGCATCCTCGTCTGCTACCGGCACTGCCAATAGCACCGCCAATGGCACCGCCACGGCCACGGGCGGCGTCTTTGTCACCGTCTCCACGGGCGCCCCGGGCGCTACCGGAGCCAGCCACACTGCGTCCGGCACGACGCCATCCACCACCCTGGCCTCGGCTGCTTCGCCCGCGTCGGCTGCTCCCAAGGCGTCTGGTTCTGCCTCGTCTTCGGGCTCTGGTGGTGGTCTCAGCGGTGCCTGCACGACCGAGGGCATGTTCAACTGCATCGGCGGTACCCGGTTCCAGCAGTGCGCTTCCGGCACGTGGACGGTTCTTCAGGCCATGCCTGCCGGCACCAAGTGTCAGGACGGCCAGAGCACGACGCTCTGGGCTCGCAGTGAGATCACCTCGCCCAAGCGCCTCCGTCGTGCCCGCCGGCTGTAGGCAGCGACAACAAAACGACGACGGCATGCCTCTTCCGGTTGGTCATTTCCTGGTGATGTGACCATGTAATATCCAACAACCCTTCCCTTCTTTGACCCCTCTTCTTCAATTCGAGAATCCCCATTTAACTTTACTTTTTTGTCTCTTTTTCCCCATTTTGTACCTCATTACTTTGCATCGTGGTCGAGCACACTTTTGCACCCACGCACATTGCGCCTTGACTTTTTTTCTTTCTTTCTTTTCTTCTTTCTTTTTGTCTTTTTTGATAACTTGGCATTTCTGGCATTTACATTGGCAGCCGCGACGGCCCAAAATTGGTCTCTCATGACACACAAGTATCTTTGCACCCAAAATACGAAAACAATTTGATGCAAACAGCATTGACCAAGCTTGCAAATAAACGTGACATGCATGTAAAAGTAAAAGTAAATAACCAATAACTACTATGATGTGCTCCGAGGAACCGTCATAATCTTCCGTCACATAATCATCCGTCCCCTCCAAAGTGCCTACATTAGCCGAGCCGGGAAAACACCGCAATCAAAAGAAAAGACGCTGCCGCGTGTCGCTCGGTACTTGATGCGCCTTCCCGTCGATTGTCTACGAGGTTGATTTGTGTTACTGATGTTCTGGTGTTTTAGCCTTTTTTTGTTTTTATTTATATTTTTTATTTTCTTTTGAAAAAGCAAAGCGATTCAAATAAAATTAGATATATAGGTCTGTTTTGGTAATTCGTACACATCGAAATAAAAGCCTACGCAACGCATTTCCAATCCAACAGCCCGGCGGTTCATCAAAACCGCCGCTCTCCCCCGCGGCCACACACCCTTCTCCACAAGACGTCCAATATACACCGGCCATGCACTGGAACATGGGACCGGTGCCCCGGACAATGTGCCAAGTTAATTGACAGACGGCTCTCGACATGAGCCGGTGGGGGAACGATCTGGTGTGCGGGCTGTTGGAGGCCCTTTAAAAACGCGGAGAGCCGTGTACGACTGTCTTCCTACCCCGGAAATCTGTCGACACCTGTGGACATCTGCAGAGGTTCGAACACACGCGCAAACGCATTGGCATTGGCGCAGGCCCAGCTTGAACGGCAACACACCAAGGGCATTCTCATCGTACGCATCCATGGCGCGACTTTCGCTGGTCCCGCTGCTGCTCGCGGCGCTCGCCGCTGTCTCAGGCGCATCGGCCGCCGTGTTCCCGCAGCCGCGCGACGTCGCCGTGCCGGGCACGCTCGAAACCACCGACGGCATCGACGGCATCGACGGCATCGACGGCACCGAAGCCACCGCCGCCGCGTCGTATACATCGTCCTATTGGAACGACGGCACGGCCACGGTCAAGTACACCAACGGCCCCAACGGCCAGTACTCTGTCACCTGGTCCGGCGACAAGGGCAACTTTGTCGCGGGCAAGGGCTGGAACGGCGCGCCGCCGGCCGCGGTCAACTACTCGGGCACCTTTGAGCCCAAGGGCAACGCCTACCTGTCCATGTACGGCTGGACCACGAACCCGCTCGTCGAGTACTACATTGTCGAGTCGTACGGCACGCACAAGCCCTGCTCGTCGCCCAGCGACGAGGCCACGCAAAAGGGCAACGTCACCGTCGACGGCTCGACGTACGAGATCTGGACCAAGATCCGGCGCAACAAGCCCTCGATCCAGGGCACGGCCACGTTCCCGCAGTTCTTCTCGATCCGCACGGACCGGCGCGTCGGCGGCACGGTGCACACGGACGCGCACTTCAAGGCGTTTGCCGCGGGCGGTCTCAAGATGGGCACGCAAAAGTACATGATTGTGGCGACGGAGGGCCAGGACAGCAGCGGCACGGCATCGATTGACGTGGGCGTCGCGCCGGCGGCGGCGGCGTGAAGGGCGAAGGAGGACGGAGAGGAGAAGGGTGTGTCAGTGTCTTTGTTTTGTTGATCAAATCCCTTTGTATTCAAGATTGATTCGCTCTACACAGAAAATACATCATACATGCGACATCGTGCTCGTACCTGCCATCACTTTGCGTGGTTTCGAATCAGCCAAAAATCGAACCAGTGGATGATGCCCTGCAGGCTCTGCTCCTTGACCCAGCCTGTCTTTGTTAGTACGGTGCGTAGAGCGGGCATGGAAGCGACGCAGACTCACGCTCGTAGGGGTCGCTCAGATCGCCCCGGGAGGCAAAGCCGTGCTTGACGTTGTAAAACAGCTGCTCGTGGAACGGCGTCTTCTGCTCCATCAGGATGTCGAGGGCCTTGCGCCGCGGCTCGGTATGGAAGGCCTGGTCGTGCTCGGCACACGACAGAAACAGCGGCTGCTTGGCGCTCCGGAAATGCTCCTCCTTGAGCTGCGAGGGATGCGCCACGGCGCCGGCCGACACGCCGTCCGTGGCCAGCAGATCCAGCACAAACGGCGCCCCAAAACAGTACCCCGTGCACGCATACCGCGTGTCCGGCGCGCTGCCGAACCGGGCCTTGGCCGCCTCGACCCACACGGGGACGTGCGCCGTCGCAAAGGCAAAGTGCTTGTTGCGCCACGCTTTCTGGTCAAAGTCGGGCGGCGCCGGGGCGTCGTGGCCCGCACGGTACTTGGAGATGGGGTCGCCGCGGAAGTAGTCGATGCCGAGCGCCGTGAAGCCGGCGGCCGCGAAGCCGTCCATGAGCAGCTTGGCATTGTTCGAGAGGCCCCAGACGTCCGGGAAGTAAAAGACGACATGACCGTTGCCGGCGACGCCCGTGGGCGGCCGCGCCACGTAGGTCTGGACCCCCGCAAGCTCCTCTTCCACACCCTGCGGCGTGCCGGCGTGGATGCTGCCGGTAAAGCAGCATTGCGAGGGCGGCTGGGCGAGGTATTCGTGGGGATGGGCCATTGTGAGAAGGGAAAGAAGGTAAAGGGAACGGGAAAGCTATTCCTTCTTACTGTATCCCTGCCCCCTCCTCAATCTCTCGAGAAGCCAGGATGCCCTCTCTTTTATGATGGTCGCAATGGGCGGAACGTCGGAGCCGAAGCGGAAGGACACATGCGACGTGCCTGTTCCGTGCTGATTGTGCAATGGCACAGCGGACCACTTAGCTGGAAGCCCTCCCTGACAGTTGGCTGACGTGCTAGCAAGGAGACGCCCATCATGTTGAGTGGGGGTAGACGTGGCTGCATCACAGGAAAGGCTGCACGCTGGGGATCAGACGGGCATGCAATGTGAATTGCACCACGACCATAAAGCTTCCCAGATCAAGTCACGATTGATGCGCTGAAATCTACGCCAAGACGTGGCCTGCATCCGAAGAAGGCAGAGTCGCGTGAACTCGTGATGCCGTTCGATTGCCATTCCACAGACCAAGCCAAACTGTCCGTCAAGCCGTGTACTGCCCAGACGGCGGCACGGACAGTACCATGCACGCATAATTCGTGTGTCGCTTGTAAATAATCATGAAAAAAAAAGAAAAGCCGGAAAAGGATAATCCCTTAAAAAGTGTGCGAGTGCACGGGATGCCACCAGGTGTCCAACACGGTAGCTTGGCATACAAGAATGGCGTCCTTGCAGCTGGCAGACGACCAAAGCTTCCTTCCTCGCCAACTGGAGCTGAATGATCGTGCCTTCCTGTTGTCTGCTGCTCCTTCCTTCTTTTCTCGATGCGTCTTCCTTGCATTAGGTAAGCGCCGAAAGGAGAATTCCTCAATTTTCGGCAATCTCGACAGTGATGCCGTCTCGCAACGATTTCAGCTTTTCAGCTCTTCAGCTCTTCAGCTCTTGTCGCTGCCATCGTCATTTTTACCCAACTTTATTTTTCCCGCATCGAGCACAACCTCGGCGATCAGCCCTTGCGTGCTGCCAAGACGAGACAGGGCGTCTTGGCGAATTTAAGCAGCCAATCTCAATCGGTCGCACCGAGGGCCGCTAGAATGGGGGAGAACAAGGAAGCGACGATTGGCACCTGTCACTTGGGGGAAAGGGGTAAAGAGGGGCAGCGAGCACCTGTAGCGGGCAGTTGACGTCATCATATGTCGCTGTACATCCGCTCTTGGAAGGCTCGAACCACGACAAGCAGGACACAATGCAATCCCAGCAAAATGAGGAAAGAACAGCCCACTCCCGGCATTTTGTGTGAACACGCCTTGCTTCAAAATGTCTTGGCTTTTTTTATTTCTTTTTTTGGGGCTGTAGTTCCAATGAGTATGTATACAATGGATCGCCCATTTTGTGAACACGCGCGTACGAATCGTACCTGATTTGATTTATTGGTGTTGTCTTTGTTCGACTTCTTTGAGCTGCCTTTACTCATCTGCGTCCAATACAGCGACTAGTTGACCTTTCAACGACACGAAATCAACATTCTTGAAGACAACGGCCTCTCGACTGAATTTCCTCACTTTGCACGACTTTCCTGGTGATTGTCATATCGTGACCGTTCCTTGCAACTTTCAATCCGACGTGACACCACCCACCCAGATCACCTTCAAGATGGCCGAAGACGACGGCGGCTCCGGCCACAGCTTGAAGGACAAGATCAAGAATCCGTTCCATAACATGAAGCAGAGCTTGGAGGAGTCTCTCGACAACAACCAGCACCTGCGCGACGCCAAAATCCATCTGAGCCACAAGAAGTAGGTCCCTTGAGGTCACGCGTTACACGACAACACGATGGGCAGCACGAGACTGGCACGCTGACACTCCCCCCCTTTCTCTTAGGCACCAGATAGGAAAGTTTGCGAATCTGGTACGTACAAAACAGCCCATCTATGCTCCGTTGATGCTTTCTTTCCTGGTTGCTGATATGCCCATGCCCAGTTCAACTCCCAACATCGCCATGACGAGGAACACGAGAAGCGCTGCGACGAAAAGCGCACCAAGGCGTGCGAGTCCCACCGCTTCGAATCGTACTTTCCCGAACGCGACGGCAACCTGGTCAAGTGGTACGTCGACGGCCGCGACTACTTCTGGGCCGTGTCCGAGGCGCTCAACAACGCCCGCGAGACCATCTACATTGCCGACTGGTGGCTGTCGCCCGAGCTCTTCCTGCGGCGCCCGCCCTACTTCAACCAAGAGTGGCGCCTCGACCAGGTGCTCAAGCGGCGCGCCGAGGCGGGCGTCAAGATTTACGTGATTGTCTACCGCGAGGTCGAGGCCGCGCTGACCTGCAACTCGGAGCACACCAAGCACGCGCTGCAGGCGCTCTGCCCCGAGGGCACGCCCGGCTACGGCAACATCCGCATCATGCGCCACCCGGACCACAACTTTTTCGAAAACGCGGCCGACATGACCTTTTACTGGGCGCACCACGAGAAGTTCATCGTCGTCGACTACGCCATGGCCTTCTTTGGCGGGCTGGACATGTGCTTTGGGCGCTGGGACAGCCACACGCACGCGCTGGCCGACGTGCACCCCGACGGCGTGATCAACGAGACGTGGCCGGGCCAGGACTTTAACAACAACCGCGTCATGGACTTCCAGAACGTGCAGGACTGGAAGGAGAACGAGCTCAGCAAGACGGAGAACGGCCGCATGCCGTGGCACGACGTGTCCATGGGCATCGTGGGCCCGTGCGTCTACGACATTGCCGAGCACTTTGTGCTGCGCTGGAACTTTATCAAGCGCGACAAGTACAAGCGCGACGAGCGCTTCGACTGGCTCATGCTGCAGGGCCGCGAGGGCGACGACGAGGACCTCGTGGGCGTGCAGCGGCCCAGCCACCCGGTCGGCGACTACGTGCTGCACCCGACGAAGCCGCTCGCGTCGATTCCGCAGCTCGCGCCCGACCAGGGCACCGTGCGCGCGCAGGTGGTGCGGTCGGCGGCCGACTGGTCCAACGGCACGCTGACGGAGCACTCGATCCAGAACGCGTACAGCGAGATCATCCGCAACGCCGAGCACTACGTGTACATTGAGAACCAGTTCTTTATCACGGCGACGGGCGCGAACCAGTCGCCGGTGCACAACACGATTGGCGCCGCCATCGTGGACGCCGTCGTGCGCAACGCGGAGCGCGGCAAGACGTTCAGGGTCATTATCCTGATCCCGGCCGTGCCCGGCTTCGCGGGCGACCTGCGCGCCGACGCCGCCACGGGCACGCGCGCCATCATGAACTACCAGTACAAGAGCATCTGCCGCGGGCCGGACTCCATCTTTGAGCAGATCCGCGCGCGCGGCGTGGACCCGACCAAGCACGTGTTTGTCTTCAACCTGCGCAGCTACGACCGGCTGGCCAAGACGGGCGCGATCAAGAAGATGGAGGCCGACTCGGGCGTGTCGTACCGCGACCTGCAGCGCGCCGAGGCCGAGGAAATCATGGGCGAGGGCATCTACGGCACGGTCGACGTGGACGGCGGGCGCGACAAGCACATGGGGCGGGCGCGCGAGCAGAAGAAGGCCGAGGAGACGAGCGACTTTTCCAGCGACAGCGTCAAGCCCGGCTACCTCGAGGCGGCCACGGACAAGAAGCGCCGGTTTGAGGCGGCGCACCCGAATCGTGGAGAGGGCGGCGAAACCGGCGAAACCGGCGAAACCGGCGAAACCGGCGAGGGCGGCGAGGAGGTCAGTGACGGGCAGGGCGGCGTCAAGACGCGGGGCGAGGCCAATCCGCGCTCCAAGGTCAAGCCGAGCGTGGCGCACCATGCGATGGCGGGCCAGGGCTCGCTGGTGGACGAGCCGTGGGAGGACGATCCCAAGGACGAGGTGGAGAACTGGATCCAGGAGGAGCTGTACATCCACGCGAAGCTGCTGATTGTGGACGACCGCTACGTGGTGTGCGGCAGCAGCAACCTCAACGACCGCAGCCAGCTGGGCACGCACGACAGCGAGCTGAGCGTCGTCATGCAGGACACGCGCGTGCTGCCCTCGACCATGGACGGCCAGCCGTACGAGGCCGGCTACCACGCGGCCACGCTGCGGCGCTACCTGTGGCGCGAGCACCTGGGCCTGCTGCCGCCGCAGGACGTCGACGGCAGCGACGACGCCAACGCGCAGCCGCCGTCGGCCGACGCGCCCAACGACGTGCACGACAAGAGCGCCGACGGCAGCGACGACGCGTCGTACGCGTTTGTCGCGGACCCGCTGAGCGACGCGCTGTGGACGCTGTGGACGGAGCAGGCCACGACCAACACGGAGACGTTCCGGCACCTGTTCCACGCGGACCCCGACGACCACGTGCTGACGTTCAAGGACTACGACCGCTTCATGCCGTCCAAGGGCATCGAGCCGGGCCACATCTTTGACATGTTCATCCCGCCCGAGGACGTGCGCGAGAAGCTCAACAAGGTGCGCGGCCACCTGGTGTGGATGCCGCTGGACTTTCTCAAGGACAGCCCGATGGCCGAGACGGGGCTGCAGGTGAATCAATTTACGGAGAGTGTTTATGCGTAGGGTGGGGGGGGGGGGGGGGGACGGAACGGGCGAACAACGTATGGATGGATAGGATGTACATGTTTTGGTATTTCAATGTATGCATGGACGCATGTATGCAGTTTACTTAATTTTATGTATTTTCTTTTCTGCCCAGAAATGGACACAGAAAGACAAAAAGACAAAAAGACAAAAAGACAAAAAGACAAAAAGACAAAAAGACAAAAAGACAAAAAGACAAAAAGGAACATCGCATCCTCCACCAGCAAAAAGCAACTGGGATCGGTGAGGCTCGAACTCACGACCTTAGGATGGGCCTATCTTTGGATACGGCTCATATCGCTATGAGACCTACGCGCTAGCCAACTGCGCCACGATCCCGTACTGTGCGTAGTGATTGGCTTGCGGGCCGTTTAAGACAGGTGATAAGGGGTAGTAGGCGTGTCTCCAGGGAACAGTTGAACAAATGTCGTCGGTTGTGTGGAGGTGAACAATACACCACAATGCAAAGTACAAAGAAACCATTTCCCGCGACATGTCTTTTGAAAGTGTTTTTTTCTTCTTTTTCTTTTCTCTCTTCTTTCTTTTCTTTCTTCTTTATTGTTCTTTGTCCTTTCACTAATAGAAAATGTGCTTCGCAACGAGGACAGATGCCTTTGTCCATATCAGCATCACAAGAAGTTCGAGGAACAGAGTCAACGCAATGTGCACAACTGCGTCTAATACACTGCATTCTGGAGCGAAGACGATGTCCACACGAACAAGGGAGCGTCCTACTATGGATATAAATAAACGACCGTCGCTTCTGTTTGGTTTATTGTTCTCGTGTCGTTTCTGTGTCTCCACCAGCAACTGCATCGACAACTCTCATCTACCGTTTTCCGTCCGCTTCATCTCAACCCACGTCATATCCGATACACCAGCACCAACACCGGCACCGGCCCACGTCCTGGGCCATCGCTTCATTCGCCCGGCACCATGGTTCAAAGCGTCATTGTCAATGGCAGCAGCGACCGCTTCTCGGTGCCGCCGGCGGATGGTGTGAACAATGGTCCCCATGAACGTGTGTCCGACGGTGATGATGGTGGTGCTGGTGATGCTGATTATGCTGGTCATGATCGTCCTCGCAGAAAGCGGCCCACGCGCCGTTCCGGCGTCACTCGACGCAAGCGCATGAAGGAGATCCGGGTGCAGCAGAACGCCCTGGACGAGGACCGCTGCGAGGTTCTCACGGGCCTGGACCGGCTGCAGCACCAGCGGCATCGAATCTACGAGGCCGAGGAAGACCTGAACACGACGCTGGCCGTCATTCAGGCGACCAAGGAGCGCATTGACAGCCGGTACTGGCAGCAGGTGTCGGAGCGGATACGGGCCCAGGGCGTCGAGGCCCGAAAGGCACAAAATTCGGTCCCGGCACGGCCGACCTCGTCCCACGCGGCTCCCTTGGACCCGACTGCGCCCATTTTTGTTGTCCCGTCGCGCGGCCCCAAGCAGCCGTCCAACAAGCCGTGGAACCCGCTCGTTGCCGATTTTGTTCCCCGTCCTCGCACGGCGCCGCTGCCCTCCACCAGCGACTCTGTGCCGCCTCAGTCGACCGTGGTTCGGTCCGCCTCGCCCCTCACTTTTGATGTCGAGCCGCATGGAAAGCCAGTTGTTCGCCTGCCCCCCATTCGTCCGCCAAAGGTCCACCTGCCCGACGTCCGTCTGTCCGCCGGTCCTGGTCCTGGTCCTGGCCCCGACATGTACATTTGGGCGGTGCCCGTGGCCCGGAACCCCAACGCCAGCCCCCTGCGCCGCTCGCCCTCGTGCGCCAGCTTGGCAACGCGCACCGCTTCGATCGTGCCGTGCGCGCCGTCGCCTCTGCGCCGGTCCGCCAGCTTCGATCGCAGTGCGACGCCCATCGACCTCTCTGTGTTTACGATGCCGAAGCGTGAGGCGCCGCCGAAAACGCTGACAACGACGGTGACAGCCCCGTCCAAGGCGGCCGTCAAGGTCCTCTCCGTGCCCTCGTCCTCCCGCAAGGCTGTCTCGTCCGTTACTTCTGCTGCTTCCCCGTCGCCGTCTCCGTCTGTTTCTCGTCGCGGAAGTGTCGTCAGCGTCGGCAGCAACACTGGTGCTGTCGTCTCGCTCCGGAAGATGGCCACGACCTCCGCGGCCGTCGCCGTCGCTGTCGCTGTCGCCGCTTCGGCGTCTGCCTCCCGCGCTGCCTCTCCTGCGGTCTCGCGCCGCGGCAGCGTGAGCAGCGCCGGCGGTGGCGGCGATCCGCGCGGTGCTGGCTTTGCCGCCTCCCTTCGCCTGGCTGCAGGCACATCCCGGTCGCGATCCGTGTCGCCTTCTCTTGTCCCTTCAGCGTCGGGCTCTGCTATGCGCCGGTCCAGCTCCACCCCCGGCGAGGCGTCGTCGCCTCTGTCGTCCCGCCGCCAGCCGCTGCCGTCTCGTGAATCGTCTCGTGAATCGTCTCGTGAATCGTCTCGGGTATCGTCTCGGGTATCGTCTCGGGCACCTTCTCGGGCACCTTCGTGCGCACCGCTCCAGGCGCCTCATGCGTCTCCTCGTCTGCATCCGATCCGCCAGCCCCGCAACGCCCCGGCCGTCCCTGCCCGTGTTTCTGCACCGACCCGCACTGTGGCCCACTGGACCCCCTGGATGTCCAACACGCACAGCCAGTCGTCCTCCATTGCGTCGTCGGCATCGTCCTCGCCTCTTGTGCGGGCGGCGTCGCCGAGTACAAACGCCACGCACTTTCGGAGAGGTGTCGTCAAGAGTACGGCCTCCCGGGGCCGTGTCGCAACCGCCAGCACCAGCACCAGCACCAGCCCCATCGCCGACGCCTCTGCACTGTCCCAGGTTGCTGCTCTGCACCGGGCGGCTCTGGAGGCGCTGACGCTGGCGCCCAATACCACGCCGGAGCACGACCAGGACGAAGACGAGGCGCTGGAGATGGAGATGGGCCATAAGAAGGGACGGCCCGTTCTGGAAGCCGGCCCTCCACCGCCACCGTCTCCTCCTGGCCCTGTTGCTGTTCCCTCTCCCAGTCTCTTGCGCACGAATAAAATGGCCAGCACAAACGCACCGAGCACGCCATCGCTGCTGCGGACATCCATGACGCCATCGCCGATCCAGAATGCGCTCGTCTCGCTCGCGTCCATCCCGGCCCTCGACCTGAACGCGGCCGTTGCGGGTGACATGCCCACTCCGCCGCCTCCGCCTCCTTCAACAACTCGTCACGGCCGCCCGGCGCCCCTTGCGACCGCGACCGGCACCGACAAGGACGGCGTCGGGGCGCCGCCCAACACGCCGTCCATTGCCACGTTCTTCTCCAAGCTGCTCCACCGGGACTGACAACCGTCGTAGGGGGCTGCAAAAGGGTAAGTCGGTGCCAACAGGCAGGCCCTAGACATGAAAAAATAACAAGGTAAGACGGTAGAAGGTAAGAAGGTAAGTGGTAAAGGTAAGTGATAAAGGTAAGTGATAAAGGTGAGTGGTAAAGATACAGATTGCTTTGCTTTGTTTAGTCCTGTTTTTTTTCCTTTTTCCTTTTTTTTTTTTGATTTCACATGCCAACGAATATATCCTTCATCAAAAAGCGCTTCTCATAAACTTACCGTGACATTGTCAAAGTTTGATACTTCATACGAATAAATGCCAAATGCCAACTTGAACGTGACTAAATTCAACAAAACGTATTTGATAATTCGAGGAAACGCCCGTCATTCAAAAGTAAACGTGAAATTTGATAAACATAACAGTCGACATTAGCATAAATAGTACCCAGCGAACGAAAATGACCAATACAAAATGAAAAAAAAAGAAAACAAAGAAAAAAGAAATCATCCCAGGGTATCATTGTGTCTTTTTCAAACTTGAACACCCTCGCGTCTACACATCCCATGGAAACAAAAAAAAGGAGACGAGGCGACCAAGACGCAGCCAGCAGTCCAATCTGCCGCTTTACCGCCCCTGCACCGGCGTCCCGTACTCGGCACCGTCGTAGGCGTAGCCCTGCTTTCCCTGGTCTTGGGACGGCGGTGGCTGGTCCTTGAGGGCCGGATGGTGCGCCAGGTTGAGGGCGGCCGGCGTCGCCGTCGGGTCCAGTTTCTTGAGCGCCTCGAGGCGGTGCTCGTCGGGCGTCTCGCGGTGCGTGGCCAGCTCGGACGAGAAGCTCTTGTCGAGACCCGGTGAGCGGTAGCCGTTGGCGGGGGGTGCATGGCCGTTCCCCGTCCCGCTGCCACTGTTGGTGGACGCCACGGAGTTGGGGCGTGCCGCGTTGGGCGGCTGGCCGTGCTGCTGCTGGTTGGGTGCGGACCACTGGCCCGTCGTCAGAATGTCGGAGTCGCGGTTCGTCTGGGGCGTCGAGCCGGCCGTCGAGTGAGCCCGCTGCAGCTGCTGGGGCTGCTGGGGCTGTTGCGCGGCCTGGGCATAGTAGTAGTCGCCCGGCATCTCGACCGCCACCGCTGCTGCCTGGCCAGGCGGCAGGTGCTGCTGCGGCGGCAGCTGGTGTTGCGGGTATGCCTGGAGCTCGGCGTAGAACTGCTGCGGCGGTGGCGGGTACGGGTACGGCTGCTGTTGTGGATGAGGCGGCGGGTGCTGGCCCGTGTACTGCTGGTACAGAGCCGGGTGCATGGGCTGCTGGTAGTAGCCGCCGCCCGGTGTGCCGGCATAGCTGGCATGCCCCGGATGGGCCGAGTAGGGCGGGTACGCGCCAATCCCCAGACCAGGACTGCCCGGCGGCTGCTGCGGGTACTGCTGGTTGACACCGGCGCTGCCGGGGCGGTAGTAGGGCGAGGGCGACTGCAGGCCCTGGGGCAGCATCGACTGCGGGCGCGGCACCTGGTACGGCATGGGTGGTGGGGAACCGGGCGTCTCGGTGCGGCTCTGGGGCGAGCCCCGCTGGTGTTGTGCGGTGGCCAGTGTGTCCTTCTCATGCGCGCTGGGCAGGGCGGGCGACGTCGACGCCGTCGTCATGGCAGGGGACCCGGCGCTGCTCGCGCCGGCACTTGCGCCGGCAGCTGCGGCGCTCAGCGTGTACGAGCGGTCGGCCGGGTTGATGGTCTTGAGGCGGCCGTTCTCGATCATGGCGGTCAGGGCGCCGCCGTCGACGAGCTCGGCCTTTTTGATGATGCGCTCCACCATGAGCTTGCTGGCGGCCTTGAGCTGCGACTTGACAAAGCTCATGACGGCGATGCTGCACTTGACCTCGACGTCTTCGCGCAGATACAGCCCGTCGGACGGCGCGCCGAGCGCCATCAGGCCCATTTCGAGCGTCTCGGGCGGCTCGACGCCGGGCTGGTTGCCACCGATGCGGTACTTGTAGCGCAAGTCCGTGTTCATGGGCGCGTAGATGTGCGCCTGCAGGCCCCAGGGCATGTCATGGAAGCACGCGTTGAAGGCGAGCTTGCCGGAGCCCATTTTGCCGATGCCGGGGACATATTGGATGCGCTCGGTGATTTCGTACCAGGTCGAGTAGTACTCGTCGGAGGCGGCATCGCGCGGGGCCTTGATGGGCTTGTGGCTGAGGACGAGCGGGTTGAGGGTGATGACCTCGCTGTGGGAGTGGAGGATGTCGATGGCCAGCTGGCGGGGGATGAAGCCCGGGATGGGCGTGATGATGGTGACGAGTTCTTTTTTCCGCAACATGCTGGTCATTTTGTGTGTGTTGGACGGGGTGTGGGAGGGGGATGTGGAAAGTAAGGAAGAAGAGAGAGGACGATGAGGGAAAGAAAAGAGGCGGACACGAAGAAATGCAGCCAAGAAAGAGAGGTGAGATGTGAGCGACAAGGATGTGACAAAATCCGACTTTTGCCGTTGATCTGTCAGATCCGCTTTCTGCGTCTCGGCGTCTCTGCAGGTATTGGATCGTAAAATCGTAAAATCCTCAAGCCTTAATCTTAATCCTAAATCCTGAATTCGTAACGTGCCCGCTTCGACTTCTGGTGCCCTGCTTTGACTGTTGTTGTAGACGAGACTGGTTGTTTGTCTGCTGTGTGCCTCGACGCGCCTAGTTGAGCCAGAGTCTCATACCCGTCGTTCCTGTAAGAAAAGGTTCCTGATCGTCTGGTTCGACCCGTTTGTTGCTGTCGAGCGGCTCTTTGTCCACTCGAGCGTTGCCTTCTGGCTCGTCTTTGTTGTTTGCTGCTTGTTCGCTTCTTGTCTGTTGGTTTGTCCGTCTATTTTAGGATCGTCGCTCCCTGTCCTGTTTGTTCAGGGCCGTTGTCGTTCTTTGACGTCTGTTGTCGTTTCTATCTTTGTCCGCTCTTTATTCGGAGTCGCTGAATGTGCGTTGCGTTTCCCCACAGCGGTTTCGTCCCGACGTGCTGTCGCAAAACAACAAAAAAGGAAGAAAAGAAAGGGAGAAGGCGTCTGTTTCGAAAGTTGTGCGCTACTGCCCCTGATATCTGGTACCTGTCAAGACGCGCACTCTGTATGGTCGCTCTTTCTCTCCTGGTCGATTGTTGTGTGCGTCGCTCTTTCTCGTTTGCCTGCAATACTTCCCAGCTCTTTGGAAGGAACCGGTGTAGGGATGGGGAACTGCGACGGCTTAACTGGACGGACGTGGCAGGAGGAAAGAAAAGGAAAGAATTGGGTGAGGGGAGCCAAAGTCAGAGCAGGAGGGGAGGAGAGGGCAGGATAAGAGTGAAAAAGGAAGGAACGGGACGAGCAGGAAAGGGAAAGTGCAGAAGCTTTCTCGCGTAAAGTGCACTACAGCGACCGTTCTGGACGACCCTATCAAGTACGAAGAAGGGACGGCATGTTCCAACAGAAGGGAGAATGGGAAAGAGCGAACGATGGTGAGAGGAGCGACCGACAGGGGTGCGAGGGCGTGGAAGGAAGGAGGGGGGAGGGTTGCGGCTGGGTTGGCTGGTTTGGGTGCTACGAAATGCTGAAAGGGGAAGTTTCGGTTGTCAACGGCCACGTAATGACACCTGGAGGCAAGTGGCAGTCCTCCACGATGGACGTTCCTCAACGGAGGAAGGCGTGGCCGAGACTACAGATCAAATTTGGCAGTGGCAGGCCAGTCCACTCCAACGGTCTGTTGGCAGGAACGGTGTGGCAGGAACGAGGGGCAATTGCCAACGCCGCGCAGCAGCCACTGCACAGACAGCATCAGCATTTTGACGTTGGCCGCCATACAGAATACTTTTTGTCATAATCTTACCGCTCCGTCCAGTCCGCACCAGTGACATTGCTCTGCGCCAGAGTCAGACGAGATGCGCCGGTTTCAAGCCTGTCTTTGCGTGGACGTCTCACTCTGTATTGCGTCCAATATCCGCCGAGGTCGTCCAGGGCGCAGACGGGCGGGCAGTCAAGGCCGCGCCACTACTGTAAGGGCTGAAAGTTAGTGTCGAGAGGGACCCTCCTCGGCCTCTTCTTTCGTCGTCATTGCCTCCATTCTACTGGCTGTCTTCTGTCCCTTTTTTGGGTTGGGCTGTGAGACGACGTGAGAAAGTGGCGTGAGCATGAGCATCCGGCGGTTCTCCGTACAATGGCCTTGCCAGAGGACAGGACACAGCAGGGCGTGAGAAAAGACAAACGCAAAGAGGAATGAATTTGGAATGAGTTCAAAGGTGAAGTAGGAGAAAGGAGAGAAAGAAAGGACCGCGACTGAAGACTGACATCGACGCAAGAGGACAGGACAACAAACCGTGCCGACAGACCCAAATTAGCTTTAAGCTCAGGCACTAAATCACTAAACCCCCCGATAACTTGGGCCGCAGCAATGTTAGTGGCCCTCGCCGCCCGCTGAGCCCCTGCTATGGTGGGTGCATGGTCAACGGGCAGTCTCAGTCCCGAGCCAGACCGTTCTTTTGTGTACGCAGTGCTCAGCGTAGGAAACGAACAACGGAAGCCTCGGTCCTTTCCATGTGAATTGTGAAGCAGGATGACGGCTGAGGTCCTTGAGTTGTACGCCGCACATGAAATGACAGTGTTCTCTTCCCTACGCTGTGGATGGCGTCAAATGAGCTCCTTATTTACATTTGTTACGCCCTGACAGGGTCTTGGCCCAGCCGCGCCCCAGCCCCTCTGTCCACTGAAAGACAAAAAGGACGACAGAGGGATCGCGACAAGCTCGACAAACTCGACAAACTCGACAAAGCAACCAACACGAGGCGATGGTGGCCGGGCTGCTGCCGTTCCGGGCCTTTAGTGTCTTTAGCGCCGTCCCTCAGCGGCAAGCCACCCGGAGACGATTGCTTCCGGGAGGGAAGCTGACGTCGTTGTTCTCACACTGGGCCATGGTGAGATGTTCACGTAATCCAACGATGCATGTCAAGGATGAAAATCAAACAGCGCCCTGGCCAGCTCGGGCGTCTTGAGATTGCCTACGTACAGCAGCTCGCACCAGTCCCGTTCGTTCCCTTGGCGCCGTGCGTCGTGGCCCCCCCGCCCTCATGCACCAACACGCTGCCGTTCACGGCCTGCGCGCTCGCCGGCACGTCGAGCGCCGGGTTCTGCACAAAGACGTTGACGGGCCGCAGCGTCACGCGCAGCGTCTCGCAGGGCATGACGGGAAAGTCCTCGGCGCGCGGCACGTGGTTGAGCCCAAACTGCAGCCACACGACGGGGTCGCCGGCCGCCAGCGAGTCCTGCCGCGCGGCCCACGTGCGGACGCCGCCGTCGGCGTCGCGCGGGTCGCCGCGGCTCTGGTTGGTCCAGGTGCCGCCGGCGTAGAGCTCGCCGTCGGCGTAGCGGGTGACGTAGACGGGGTGGTCGGCGAACTGGGCGCGGCGGCGGTGGAAGGAGTCGGCGTCGGCCAGGATGGGCTGCATGGGGGGCAGGTGCACCTTGTAGGCGGCGGGCAGGCCGTTGACGGGGTGGCGCACGGCCGGGTTGGTGATGTGGACGACGCGGCCCGTGGCGGCGGTGTCGATGTCGAGCGGGCCGCTGGTCGTGAGCGGCGTGGCGGCGACGGTGTAGCCGACGCCGTGGGGGTTGAGCCGCGGGTCGCGCGGCAGCGCCATCGTGTCCTGGTAGACGACGGTGTTGCCGTGGCCGGCGACCATGGGGTCGACGCGCAGGCTGAAGAAGTGCTGGTGGTGGCCCGCCAGGACGCCCGGGTGCACGACCGTCCCAAACGGGTGGCCGGCCGCTGCCTGTGGCGCCAGGTCGCGGTCGACCGGCTGCGTCGACACGATGCCCGTGGCGCGGACCTCGTAGGCGACGTCGCCGGCCAGGTTGAACACCCAGGCCAGGATGTACTCGTAGTTGGACACGGTCAAAATCGTCTGCAGCACGAGCTCGCGCTGCCGCACCACGACGGCGCGGTCCGTGCGGTAGTTGGTGTGCTTCCAGGCGATGCCGGCGTCCTGCTCGTGCACGCAGACGACGTTGGGCATGGCGTGCGGCGCGCCGCCCGCGTCGGCCACCACGCCGTCCATGTAGTAGATGGCGCCGAGGCAGTCGCAGCCCAGCTGCAGGTTGTTGGCCATGATGCCGGCGCCCGCGTCGCCGAGGTCAAAGGCCTGCTTCTTGTGGAACGGGTGGCGCGGGTCCGCGTAGGGGATGGCCATGTCGCTGAGGCTGAGCCGGTAGAAGAGCGGGCGCCCGTCGTAGTGCACGTCGTACAGCACCATGCCCTCGCGCTGGTTGAAGCCGACCTTGACGTCCCACTTCTGCCACGTCACGCGCCGGCCCATGGCGCTGTACGCCGCCACCTGGAACGACGCGCCCTCGGGCTGCACCACGCGCAGCGGCTTGAGGTCCGCGCGCGGGTGCGCCTGCGCCTCCGGGATGTACTCGCTCGGCGGCGCCGGCTGCCACGGCGGCAGGTCGTCCACGGTCTTCACGGTGGTGGCGTCGAGGCCCGTCGGCAGCAGGTCGATGCGCACCACCGCGAGGGTCGCGCAGTCCACCACCGGCGAGATGGGCAGCGGGAACGCGTAGTGGCAGCTGTCCGGCTCCGCCGCATTGCTCGGATCCCGCATGTACAGGAAGCACTGCATCACCCGCACGTCGTCGCGGAACAGCCCCTCGCACACGCCGTCCGAGCCGTAGATCCACGGGTCCGACACCAGCACGGCGCCCGCCGGCAGCTGCAGCTTGGCCACGGCCGCGCGCACGCCCGGGTCCGCCAGCACCACCTGTTCAATCGCCAGAATCTCCTCGCCGTCGCCGTTGGCGTGCTTGTCCGCGGGCAGGCGCACGTTGCGCTCGAGCGTGCCCGTCGACAGGTTGGCCATGGCCTCGTGGAACTTGTGGGTGTTGCGCAGGTAGTAGGCGACGTACACGCGGCGGGGAATCACCGGCAGGGACGACGCGGCCGTGCCGGCGCGCTCGGCGGCCAGGTAGGGCACGAGCTCGGCCTTGGGCGGCTCCTGTAGGGTGACCACCTTGAACTGGAAGAGCGTGCCCTCGGGCCACGCCTTGCGCACGAGGGCGGTGGCGGCTGTGATCTCGGCGGCCGTCAGGGGGCCCAGCGGGTGGGCCAGGGGCGTATCGGCCGTCATCGCGGGGAAGGAAGGTGGGGAGATGTCGGGGAAACGTCGGGTAGAAGTCGGGGCAGGTGGGGGTGGGTGTCGACCGTGTCGAATGATTCGGAAGGAACGAAGAGTAAAACAAGCCGGAAGGAACGAGTGGTCGAGACGGCAGACTGGCTCTCAAAAACCACGATGAAGAGAAGAAGAACAACTACAAGAGATGGAGCACAGACTCGGCCAGCTCGCTTGTACGACGCTGGGCGGTCTTGTCGCTTCTTTATGTCCAACGACCGTGTCCGCGGTCTGGTCTTATCTCTTGTCCTTGCCCCGTTGTCTCCTCATGTCCTCGGCTACTTGGGGGTCCTCTGGTTGCGGAGTTCAGTGCTTGACGGCTCCGATAGGACTGGCCAAGCGAAGGATATGCAGAGGTACGAAGTACAGAGCGGTGTTAGTCTTGTTTCTGTCGTTTCGTTCGGTTCTGTCGTTCCCACCAAGCCCTGGCGTTTTCCTTATCTCCAACGCCCCACGCATCGCGTCTTGTCCGTCGTCTGGACATGCCCAAAGTGGTTTAGCGGACACGACATGGTGGTCGCTACGAGTGATCGGGTGGACGCTGAACTCTGCTGTCCTGTCCGGAAGTACTCGGTAGTTCCTTGTACTCTGCAACTTGTATTTCATCGTCACTCTGTCGCTTTGTAAATCGGTTTGTTTTACTTGTTTGGGAAGGCAGGTGGGCCCCGGGCGTGCCTGCCTTGCCGGCCTCTCTTCCTTCAGCTTGACGGCAGTTGCCGCTGTTGCCCCCGCAATCACTCCGTATTTGTATGATATCCGCTGACCTCTCTATGCAGCGTGTTCGATTTCCTCTTTCTGCTGTTTGAGTTTCTTCCATTACTCTTGACTTGTTCGTTTCGCCATTTGTTCGTCGTCTGTCCACTTCCACAGAGGCTTGGGTATGGCCGTCCCCGCATTACAGCACACAAGGCGAGTTCCGGGATCGCATCGACGAATCAGTGGACTGCCTAGTGGAGGTGGAAAAGACGACATTCTTGCAGAACAGTCGACGCGCATGTGTTGCCTTTTTGGGAAGCGCTGCCAACAAGTCAGAGTTGTGCCCGCTTTCTCGCCGTGATCTAGTGGCGTTTTAGTGCGACTGGCTGTCTGTCTAGTCATGGATACAGGAAATGGCAACCAGAGAGACCATATTTATGGCATGGTGTTGTCATGTTGATTTTCTCTTTTCTATCATTAAATCCAACATTTTTAGTTTCCAACTCATAAAGTAGCATGCTCATAACCCCATCCTCCCTCTCAATACGTAGAAAAACCACTCAGCAAATCGTGGATGTCCATGGGCAGGTCCAGCCCGCGCCATTCTAAGCTGTTGCTCTCCCCTCCTTCACTGCTTTCCTGCTGCTGCAGGTGCATGTCGTCGATGCCCAACTCGGGCTCAAAGGGAGTCGGACTAATGACGGACAGCGGGACGCTCGAGACGTCGGCAGAACTCGGGGTATCGACGACAAACGAGTCACGGCCACCCTGTGCTTGGTGGTGACCACCATATCTTCCCGCCGACAGCTGCATAAACGCGAGGAGCGCCTGGGCCTGGGCCTGGGCGGCGTCAGTGCTGTTTTCAGGTAATATGGCCGGAGAGTATCCATTTGCAGACGCCGTGCTGTTTTGTCCCAGAGGCGACGCAAACGGAAAGGAACAGTCCACAGAGGAGACCGTAGGTCGGCGTTGACGGCCCGTCGTGTTGCCGGCAGTCCTGCCAACCGCCCCGTTCATCATGTCACCATCTGTAAATGCCGACGAGGCGTCGGTGGGATCACTGTATGTCGAGCGTGGTGTGGGGGCCAGTTGTTGCTGCTTTGGGTGGACCGCCTGCAGACTGGGATGCGCCAAGGCGAAGGCTACTTGATGCTGGGATTGCGGTTGTGTGTGCTGTAGTGGCTCCGGGATGAGTGAGGTGGGCGACATTTGTGGCTGGTTGGTGCTGGTCCACGATGCATACGGCCGGTCGGTAGCGTGAGAGGTCTGCCGGCCTGACTGCGAAGCTTGGCCCGTCCCACTGCCACGGGTTGACCCTTTCTTTTGCCATTTGTTTGTGTTTTCCTTGGCAATTTTCGTCGTCGCCCTCGTCACCCTCGCCCTCTTCGTCTGGTGATCATTTTCCTCCCCATAGCTCCGGTTACTGTCTCGTCGCTTTGCGTGGCTGCTCTCCTCGTCGACCTCACTGTCGCCATTATCACCGACCTCGCCTTCAGGGCCCTCTTCGTCGATCTCCTCCCCACCTTCACGGTCACTCTCCAGCTGTGCCTCCAACGCCTCCAGGTTCTGCTCCATAGCCGTGCGGTCATTCCAGAACGCGGCACCGCGTTTGTATGTCAGGTACAGCACATCGAAGCGGGACTTGATCAAGGTGGCGGTGTTGGCGTTGCCAGTATCGCTTTGATCGCGGTGTCCCCGTCCAGGGCGCGGCACAGCCACATAGCGCCGCACCAGCTGGACGGCGGCCGCCAGCCACAGGGTGCTCAGCAAGAACGGGTTGATGTAGCGGATGTGCTCGTCGCAGCTGCGGTTGACAATGGTCAAGATGTTGTCGGCGGCCTCAAAGTACGGGAGGACCGACGACGACGACGTCAGGGGCATATGTATTTGGCCTGTCCCGGCGTGGGCGTGGGCGCCAAACACTTCGTAGCGGTGGATCATGAGGCGGGTGAGTTGGGTCATGACGTAGATGTTGTAGATGCCGCAGTGCAGCTGGCGCACAGACCCGCGGGACATGCCGGCAAACACAGACACGGGCACGTCCGGCGTCCCCTCTCCAAACCCGAGACACTGGTTGCGGTACTGCAGGTGGACCGGCAGCGCCAGCACAAAGCACTGCACGCAGTTGGCCAGAGTCTCGAGTGTCTGGCGGGCCTCTTGCGCGGAACAGGGGCCAGCGGGACGTGTCTTGCGTCGTGGCGACGACGCTGTTGCCGTCGTGCGAGCCTGCCGGTCGTCGTGGAAGCGAACACCCCGCGGACTCGAGATGACGCGTGCGTCCTTCATCAGCGAGTTGATGACGAGGAACCACGCCTTGGGCGACTGGTTGCCGGAGGCCTGGAGCGCCTTCCACCGCCGGACAGGGTCCAGTTCCAGGAAGCAGCTTTGTGATCGTGGTGCTTGCTGTGTCCTTGCTCCACTTGTTTCTGTTGTCCTCGCTCCGCTCGTTTCGTCTTTTGTCTTTTCGTTTGTCCTCGCTTCGTTCGAATGGTCGTCACTCGAATGGTCGTCGCTTGCCGCGGCAAACCAATCCGTATCGTCGACCGGCAGCAGCGTCTCCATCTGCGTCCAGTCCACGGCCGTCGGCGTCCGCCGGATCGTGCTCGCAAACACGTCCATCTCCCAGATGGCCCACCACGCCCGTCTCTTTTCTTCTGCGTCGCGCCACGACGACGCCGACGACGACAACGACAACGACGACCTCGCATCCACGAGATGCAAATTCATCTCATACGCCAGCCGCACACACATCCCCAGCGACCGCCAGGCCCGGCCGTGCACACCGCGCGTCAGCTCGCAGTGCGTGCAGATGATGCTGGCCTGCAGAATCGCCAGCGTGGGCGGGTCGTCGCCGCAGTCGTCCAATGCTTGTGCAATGAAACGGCGGGCCAGGTCGAGGAAGTGCTCGGGTGTGGCTGGTGGGGGAGGCGGCGGAGGCATCGGTGTCGCAGCGGTGGTCAGCGGCGTCTGCGCCGGCGGTGTCGCGTTCATCTCCGGCAGTGACGTCATCGTCGGGTCGATGCAGTCCGTGTCGATGCCCTCCGTGGGAAAGATTGTGGGCTGCTGTGGCTGTCGGTGGATTGCCTGGCCGGCAGTCTCTGGCAGGAATCTCGCCGCATACGCCGCCATCGCCGCCAACAACGCATGCAGCTGCACCGGCGAGGCGGCGGCCACGGCACGCAACTTGGTCCCAAATGACGGCCGGTGGAACAGGTTGATGGCGACCATGTTGGCAAAGTAGCTCCGGAGGGACGCGCGCAGCATGGCCTCGGAGACGCCGAGGGCACGGCCGGCCTGCTGGACGGGTGTGGACGCTCGGGGGGAGGGCGCCAGGCGAGGGCAAATAGTGGCCGTGGGGGAGGCAGACAACGGCCGGTCTACCTGCTGTCCCGGGCCGCTATTGTGTCCGTGCACAGCATCGCCATCGTTGTCCGGCGTCGACGCGTCGTGCGAGGGGTGCAGGATAAACGACAAATCGCTGATGTTGAGGCGCGAGTTGCGGCGGCGCCGGGTCCACTCGTCGGTGGTGGAGCCAGGCGGTGAGGCCGTGCTGGTGACGGCAGAGTGGTGGCTCGTGTCGACGGCATCGCTTGTGTCATTCACACCACAGTCGTCGTCATGCTGTCCTTCAGCATCCGAGGCTGATCCAGACGATCGTGACGCCCATTTGTCACCCCTGGCAGTGCTGGCATGGGTACGGCCATGGGCGCTGCCCCCGTCTGACCCCCCGCGGTGTCGGTCCCGTCTCCTGTGCCGTTGGAGAGAGCCTGTCTCTTAGTCCTTTTTCTACTTGTTCCCTCTCCTGCTGCGCCGGCGTCAACTCACCAATCTTGGGTCCGGGCTTCTTGGGCCGCAGCGGATACTCGCACACCTGGTCCGTCTGGATGCAGACGAGGCAGTGTGGCAAAGTGCGGTCGCACTTGACCTTGCGTCTGGTGTGGTCGTGATGAGTTAGTGGGTGAGTTGTGGTCCAGAGCCATACAGAAGGATGGAGAGGACGCACCTCCTGCACAGTTGGCAAGATATTTCGGCAGCGGTACGTGGTTGAGTAGGCTCGTCGGACTCTGTCCGCATGATGTATGTTGGAGAGCACAGTTGGCCTCCCAAACCCTGGGGTGAAGTGCGTTTAGGCTGGCTAAACCCTGTGCCGCTTGAGCAATGCCAAAGGTCAAATGAGCAGTCACCAACCTAAGAACAAGAGCGACAGACGGGAGGCATACAGAAATGCCGACGTCACGAGTTGGGGCAGGAACATAAGCAGTCTGTTGCAACATGAACGACATATACAGAGTAAAATGAACAACAAATCGTATCAGGGAGACTCCCAAGACTCTACACTCTTTCTCTCCATACTTGGTCCCAGGTTTCTCCTTCAAAATGCGGGGATTCAGGACGAGTTCTACCTGACACATGAATTGTTGGGGTCGCAAAGGCGAGCGTTAGACGGACTGACACAACAAGCGATCTGGGGGAAGGGTGGTCGTTGGACGTTGCCTCTGCAGTCCCTTGCCCCAAACTCTCTTCTCCGCAATTACTCCGTCCATCCGTCAACACAGGATCGTTTGTTCAAGCTCGACTTGGCCCAGCACAGTCAAGGGTGCGTCCATGCCCCACCTCGGCCTAACTTTGCGGGACGAGAGATCAGGACATCGGAGAATTGATCCGAAGTTGATGCGATTCAATGAGACCAGGAGGAATCGGAGATGGGCGGGGATTGAAGAGGGTTGACAAGTCGATCCAGTTTGGTCTAGGAGAATGCACTAGTAGACAGAGCAGACAAATCGATTGATAAATTAGGATATGAAGAACAAGAGAGAAAACGAACAAAGAAAACAAAAGACATCATGTGGGGACCGGCTCGATGCCAGCGAAGACGGTCGGCATCACCGCAACTACACTGCACTCTTTGATCTTTGGACACGGTTCTATTGTTTGTACTCGTTTGCTCTACCCAGTTAACTCTACTGAGACTGTCGACGCCAGCCTACCTCTCGTAGTGCACCCTGTTGATGAGCGTGCCAATCTCGGCAATGGTGATGCGCATTTCGTCGCCGTGCTGCAGCGACAGCGTGGGCGAGCGCATGGCGCCGATGCCAGGGCCCGTGCCCGTCATGACAATGGTGCCGCGCTCCAGCGTGGTGCCCTGCGACAGAAAGGAAATGATGGCGGGGATGTTGAAGATCATCTCGGACGTATTGGTGTCCTGCACGACCTCGCCGTTGAGAATGGCCTGGATGCCGAGATCGTGCGGGTTCGACACCGCGCGCTCCGCGACGAGCACCGGCCCGATCGGACACGACGCGTCGAGGCCCTTGCTAAAACACCACTGGCTGTTCTTGAACTGCTGCGCGCGCGCGCTGACGTCGTTGCTGGCCGTGTAGCCCAGGACGTACTCAAACGCCCGGTACGTGGGGATGTTGCGCCCCGTCTTGCTAATGACAAACGACAGCTCCGCCTCGTAGTCGCTCGTGCCGTCCTGCGCAATCGCGGGGATGTTGATGCGCGCCGGCGCGGGGCCGGCCAGCGCCGTGCGCGGCTTGATGAAGAGCACCGGCGTGTCCGGGATCGGCATGTTGGCCTCGCGCGCGTGGTCGCGGTAGTTGAGCCCCATGCAGCGGATGATGGGCACCTGGTCCATCCGCAGCGGGCTGAGCAGCGTGCCAATCGTCAGCACGCGGTCGGTATTCACCTGCCCGTCAAACACGTCGCCCTCGATGACCTGCGCCGTGACGGTCTCGCCGTTCTCGAGGGCCTCGCCGAGGTCGGGCACTTTCTTGTTGTCGATCTGGCCCAGGTGTTCCTGGCCGTCCTCTTGGGCGAGGAAGCGCACGAGATGTGTCCAGTTGGGGGC